CTCTACAGTATAGTTTTATATGGAGCCTTTGGCAGGAAAGGTTTTCATAAAGGTATCCCCAGAAGTGAAATGGCTCGAGCTGTGACGTAAATAGAGACGCAGACACAGATCATGGTGTTGTCAGGGACAAAGTTTTACAAGCAGGGACCTGGATTTCTAATGGCCCGACCTTCTCAGTCCTCAGTCACTTTATGTGAATGTCAGATCTGTCATGCTGGCTGGTCCTGGTAACTGTGTAAATGGGTAATATATTTTTGATCTTTGTGTAAAGCTTCACTGTGATGTTGCCACATCTTCGTGGTTGTTTAAAGTAAGTGTAGCATAACTTAATTGTACCTTTACTGGGAATACCATGGCATCCCACTAAAAGTACTTCTGGTGCATGTTTATTGTTTCACATGGGAGTTTGTTAATAGTCCAATGTAGAAAAGCACAGTACACATGTTAAACCTACATATGAATATGGTACCTCTATTGTAAAAACCCTGTAAAATTGCACAAATCCTTGTAAAGTTTCTTAAGGATACAGACAGGGGTGCAAAGAGAGAGCACCTCAAAATGATGGAAGTGAGTGGTGTAATTATTTGTATGTCCAGAACAGGAGAAGTGTTGTTTCTAGCCTGAATCCTTGTTAATGTCTATTTGAATCAGTTATCATTTTCAGGATGTAGGCTGCAAGATGCAAATAAATGCAATGCACAAAAATGCACACATTTTACAAACATTCCTCCCACATCAGTCAAATTTAGGTGGGAACAATATCTGGGTTTCTAATAACTGACTTGAAAAAGTCAGTCATAATTGATAGCTGACGAGTAGAACATCAAAGGAAGGTAATTTGTACCAAACAGAATTACCTGTTTTATCTCAGAGAAGCCAAAGGAAATGTGTTTGGGACTTAAGACAGGAAATCTGTCTGTATTTAAGATAAGAACTTAATTACAGAGGGATGTGTTAAGAGATGGGTTTCTCTTGCCTAACAGTTAAAAAATAAAGCAATGTCTCAGATTAGATTTCCCAGAAGCAACACAAAATAACTTTAGTCCCAAAACTGATCCCTGAGGTACACCAGAATAACATTTATTTCATCGTGGGGAGAAGTGACCTAAATGATGTTGGATTAGTGCCGGAAAAACAAATGTTTTTAGACTAGCAAAAAAAGCTAGCTGGTCCTCATAGTTAAAGATTTCGGTATATAGAAGTACTGATGGAATGGAAAGAAGATGGATTCTGTTCATTGCCACTGGCCCGACAGATCAGCACAAATTTGGATGGTGTTTGATTGCTTGCCCTCTGGAGCTGCAGGGGATCTTGTCATCTCTGTTTTATAATCTAACTCTTTTCTTTGTGTATTGCAAAGTCTTAGCCTTTGGGGAGTTACTGACTTGAGATGAGATGACTCAAAAGACCTGCAAGTGAAGGAACGGAATTCCAGGGCTAGTGTTGGTCACCACTGTTTCAGAAGATCAAGCAGTTTCCCGTGATACGTAGTGGAAAGATCAGATGGCTTCAGAGGTGTCAGCTTCCCACTATTGCTGGCCATCAAGGTGTTATTAGTGAGCCGAATAAGTATTGTCCTTCATGAAACCAAGAGCTGATTTTTTTTTCCAGTTAATGACCAGTGTCTGCTCGGGAACCTTTTAATGTGTGATTGGTATTGTATTTATTTTGGCATTTGCTATACAGTTGAGATGTGCAGAAATTCGTAGCACTTAATACATTTTAAAGGGGAAATTCTAAGGAAAATGAAAGTGATCAAAAACATTAGCTTCAGGAAGCTTTTTGTTTGTGGAATCTGTCAAGACCCAGGTACTGACTGTTGTGTACGTGCACATTTATGTTGATGTCAGTAGTGTGTGCATTGAATTTCTCTTTGGTGCAATTATGGGGTTATCGGTGTACTATTAATTTTATAACTGGTACTTGGGGAAAACCCCAAGTATGACTGCTGTGTGTAATCGTGGGCTGACCTGGGGTGTTTGTAGTCTGACGCTATATCCATGCAGTGGAAATTATGATCATAATATTGGTGGGAGGTGAAATTTTTATTTTTTTTCATGCATATGTAGAACATGACCTTGAAATTTGTTTTCTTAGCATTTCGGGCCCTCTTTTTTTTCCTCTTTACGTTTATACATAGTTCTATTTTTGCAGTTGAAAGCTGAGGAAATGAAAATGGCAAAGAAGAATTTTCTGAACAGTTGTTTTGATGGCGCTGATAAAACGTAGCACACACTGAATGTTTGTTTTTCCGTTAGCGGCTAGAAACATTTTTCATGTGAATTTCTGTAAAATGTTTAAAGCGTGGAATCAAATATTAATTTCCATTCCAGTAGCAAAATCCACTGTTTTGATTTCAGTTTTTTTTTTTGTAATTTGTACTATCCTTTGTTCCAGCAGGGCTGTGTGTATGTTGTAATTCTGGGATATGCTGGCATGAAAAGCATTACAAAACAAATTTGATTTTGCTATTGTAACAGTATTTGTTAATTTTGAGAGCACACAGTGTTCGATTAAACTAGAGACTGTTGCAAGGTAGAATTCAAATATACCTTTTGTGACCGAATATTAGCAAAAGGCAAAAGGTGTTCAGCAGCAACATCACAGCGTTTTTTTATTTTGCTGTATGGGATTCCATACAGAAGCAAACTCAAATGGTAACAGTATGGTTAGCTGGGTTTCTGACTTTCTGTTCTGGAAGATACTTTGAATGTACTGAAGTAGATAAAAGCTGTTGCAGTTAAAGTACCATTCTGAGATGCTAAAGACTGCTTAAATAAGTAACAAGTTTCATTGTCTATAAGACAGTTTTTCTGATGGCAAAACATGTGGAAACCAAGGACTGTGTTATGTCCGTAGTATTGGGTGAACATCATATCAAACAATAATAGTATAGTAGTAGTAAGACAGGTATCGTGATAATGTCTGTAAAATCAGGCTCGTGATAATGTATGTCTGTGGTCAGAGCTTGGCCATTTTTGAAGTCTGTCATGGAAAAGACAAGGAGATTGTATGTATTCAGTTTTGTTCCTCACACTGTTCTAAGTACACCTTCTTGCCTGTATCAACTAATCAACTCTATGTAGGTAACCCAGCAGCACAGGAAATGTGGTTAACGCAGGAAGAAGGAGAGATGTTAACTTAGTGCAGGCTAATGCATTTCTCTGTACCCACATTGAAGATGGTAGATTTTGTCTGCTTCTCATGAACTCTCAGAAATAAAATAAATGGCAAACCCAATTGTCCCACTCATCTTTAATATTTGTGCACAAATTGTGCCTTGCCTTCATTTTCGTTTCTCTCATTTTTGTACCTGTGAATTAATGTCGGTGTGGATGTAAACATCAGTCTCTGAATTGCGAGCTCCTGTTTTTCAGAGTCGAGCAGCTTCGGTGCCTGTTGCTGTTTGCACAGCTGCTGTGAGCAAGTGGAGTTATCTGCACTGTGTGGTGGATACAAAAAATTACCTGCAGAACTAGAAGGGGTTAGCACTAGAAGCTGGTGTGGGAGTTAACTGTGGAGCACATGCAAAGATGCAACATAATATGCTGTATATTAAACAGAAAAATGAACGGGCCTTTCTCCATACGTTGTTGAACAGTATTCTTTTTCTGGTATGGTCTACCATATAGCAAGAAATCCTCTTAATAAACATGAAATATGATTATGCATGCAACTGTCTTTGACATCATTTATACAGTTTCTGTTTTGCATGCTCTGTAAATGGAGGCAAAGCTGCCTATTAAATAGCAGTTTTAACCTCTGTCTTCCTCCTCCCAAAATGAAGAGACATCCCCTTGGTTACAATGTATGACAAAAAAGCTCTGTTTAAATAAACACCCAAGGCCAATGTTATAGAGTCACAGGGCTTTGAGGGGTTCTTACACCCTGTGCAAGAGGAGTCTGCGATGCTTCAGTTTGCACTGCTTGAGAGCTGGTGACATCTTAATCCTAAAACTCCTACAGTCCTTGGAAAGTGGAAGAAACAAAATCTAGGTCCCATAGATCCTCTTTGATTGCCTTTTACAGAAATAATGGAATTTAAATCTTGAAAAGAAACCCGTCAGGTTTTTTGCACTGCCAGAAATAGTGTTACTGTCAGGAGGCAAGTGGTGTTCCGAGCAACCAGTTCCCCTCTGAATTGTGGGTTGGCTGGCCTTGCTCTTGATATTGTGTTTTTAGAGATGGTGGTGTTAAATCACATGGAAATTATTTTTGAATCATGTAGGAACTACTTTCATTCTCCTAATTTTTTTTTAAATTCTGGTTATTTACTAACGCCATCGATGCTTGTCTTCCTGTGAATAATGGTTGTACTTGTAACCACAAAACCGCTCAGACTTGTAACCTACACTCTTGGGAATTTTTGACAGAGCAAAAGACCTGAGAATTGAGGACCACAGGCTTCCTGCTTTGCTCGGTGGCGATGCACTGCTGTGGTTTCTGATTGCACTTTTGTCCCACCCTGATAAGTGGATATTTTCTAATTTATAGTTCCTTTTTGAACTTCTCTCTTCCAGAGAGATGTAGTCCTTTTAGGCGATGGCGTGCTCCTGCAAACACGGAGTGTGTTTCCTGGATTGTGCCTTTATGTTTGCCTCGCAGTTTGGAAAGGTTTGCACTGCGTGTTCTGTGAGATTCTCTTGATGCCCCCTTAGTAGGCCGATGATCCTTGTGGTCTTCGTGTTTGGGCATCTGGGCTGCTCTGAATGGGGGAGGGGTCAAATTAAGAAGATGAAAGACTATACATGATCACATTTACAAAGCATTGCATTTGGTATAGAACATGTTCCAGTGGTTTTTCAGAATACAGTAGCTGCGATATTAGGATATAATCATTGGACTTTGTACAGGATCCCTGACAGTTGGGACACACTTAGCTTTTCTTGCAAACCTTAGGAAACACTTTTTTTTTTACCTAAGAAAGCACAGAGAACGAGCGAGAGTATCCAAAACCCATCCTGTGAAAACCAAGGTTTATTTTTTCCTCTTCCACTTAGTTGATATCCGGGAGATTAAAGAGATCCGACCCGGCAGGAGTTCCCGGGATTTTGAGCGCTACATCGAGGACTCCTCTGTGCGCTCTGACCAGGCCCACTGTTTCGTCATCCTCTATGGCCCTGAATTCCGCCTCAAGGCTCTCAGCCTGGCAGGTAGGCTCCACCGTTACAGTTCCTTCTTATTTCACAGCCAAGAAACCCGATTATTTTGATATGATTTAGGAATATTAATGTGGTACAGCAGCTAATCTAAAGAATAGTCATTTAGTGTGAACAGTTTAAAACCTCATCTCAACCATCTCATTTAAGATGTTACTTTGCAGTCCTTTCAGGATGCTTGGCAAACTGAGAAGTCTGTGATTTCATTATCTGGGGTAACGATTTATATAAAAAGTTCATAAACGTATTGCGATGACTGTTAAGGTTAAAGTTAAATTGGTAGATCTCTTATCTGTCTTAATCTAAGCTGTTTAATTGTATGGTCCTGGCAACACCCTGACTTAATGCATTAGAATCTATTTAGATAAAGTTAACGTTGCCTCACCTGTTGGGTTTTGAAATCAATTTCTTTGAGTCATTTCAAAGTGTGTAGAACGCAGATAGATGTGCTAGAACCTGCTATTACTCTGTACGTAAGTATTTGTGTATCGATATACGTTGTGCCAGGTCTGTCCATTTTTACCTGTTACTATATTTTACGTTTTCAGCTTGTTAAATCAATCATTTTTAGTTTCAATGATTCAGCTGTTGCAAGGTCAAATTATTTTCTTTATTCACAACCATGTATTAACCTGTACTGGATTGTACTGACCAGGATTTGAAGGAAGTGCTGCCGTTTGTAGTGAGGGCAGTCGTTTGTGGTCAAGCTCGGTGTCTGAGCTTTTCTCTCCTTGATTGGCAGCCACGTCAGATGAGGAGATGACGATGTGGGTGAAGGGCTTGAACTGGCTGGTGGCAGACACACTCAAGGCCTCCACACCCCTGCAAATCGAGAGGTGGGCTCTTGGGAATTGACTTAGAATTTGTGGGATTGCCCTGGAGGGGGGGTGGTGTACACATGTCATACGTGGAAGAGAACTATTTCGAAGATTTCACTTTCTTTTATATCTTGATCTTTGTTCTTGGTAATGTGAATGGGTACTATAAGATACTTATGAGTTTATATGCCAACACAGTTCTAGACTGTGTTGTGGAGGAAACAGCATCATGAGTCATGTCTAAATAGCTAAGATTTTTGGATTTCGGCATGCTATCATGGCAGTCAGACTACCAATTGTAAAAATCTCCCTTTTCTTTCAGGTGGTTACGGAAACAATTCTATGCAATTGATCGGAACCGGGAAGAAAAGTAAGTAAATTCCGGCTTTCCTGAAATGTAAAATTTAAAGGGAAATAAATGGTAAATCGGTAAATCTTATCAAAACTGCATTGTTTTTAAATCACATGGTTAAACATAGAGATTTGAATGTTTTTCCTCATACTGCTGTTCAACAAGTTACAAGCGTTTTGTCATTTTCTGTTTAAATCAAGTGATAGTGAGGACACACTTGTTTTGTTTTAGCATTACATAGCGAGGACTGATGAATAGATACTATTCTCCTTTTCCTCTGGTCTTTATCTTGTCCCCGTCTAACCACAGGGTATATAGTAAGTGTGGAATAATTAACTGAATTCCTGTGTAAGACTCAGGTTATTTTTGGTTAGAACAGAGCGAGAGAGAGACTGGAGGTTTTCATAAGGACATAAGGATTTATACTGTACAAGAAAAACTGTCATACTTGAGTTCAGACATTGCGTACTGATCTCAGATTGAGCAAGCTTGGCAGCTAAAAGGTTATTTTTAGCATGCCTACAGTTAAAAGCTCTGCTCTGTTGTTGTGAACCTGGTTTCCTTCCATTTGCCGAAGATCAGATGTAACTCCCATGTCTCCTGTTGCTAGATGGCTCCGTGAGTGATTTTATGAATGAACACGCTGAGATGGGCGCTTTTCTGGCTGTCTGCCAAGAGAGGGGGAGTGTGTCTGTGTTGAATGGTGGTGGTGGTGGGGGGTGTGTGAGCACACAACCCATAACTCTTCCAGTTCCTGTCTGTTCTCTTCCCATTGTGAAGCCTGCTTTGGCCTACACACCACATGAAGCCATGTGGAGAATAATTAACTGTTTGTAACCTAACTTAATTATGTTTCTTTGCTAGGTTTCTAGCTTGCTTTTGTGCAAAACAAAATCGCCTGGGACAAGCCCCATAGGTTTATCAATTGAATTCCAAAGTGTTTAAAACTGGGTTTAATTTAGCTGCAGTTTTGCAGAGCTGCTTAGCTGTTACCTATTTCTATTGCTTGTTGGATTGTGTATGCTCACAAGAGGACACGGTCCCAAAGGTTTCTTTTTTTCTTGCAAAAAGGCACAGCCTTGTTAAAACCCCGCTCCGCCCCCATGTTTTTGGTCATGCGTGGGTGGGGGGTGTTAACGATATTGTTGCTTGTGGGGAGAAGGCCGGGTGAAGATGCAGCTGTCGGTCAGTGGTCACATACAGAGTTGCAAGCCAGCTCCTGGTGCCACGTCCTCAGGAGGAGGAGAGGGGAGAGCAGGAGTGAGCGGAGACCGAAAGATCCTGTCAGAGCCAGCCTGCCTGCAGCTTTATTCCAGATGCCAGTGACCTGCTGGCTCTGTTCTTTCCAGACTGCAGTCAGCACCTGGATTAAGCGTGGGGCGGCTGAAGGTTATTGGTGCTCTGGGAGGATTTCCCTTTCGCACTGCGCTGTTGCCGGCGTCCTTGAAATTCAGCTTCAGACTCCCGAGTCCTGAAGCATCATGTTGCACGAATGAGGCAGTACTGAGTGAAATGCATACCGTTACCTCTCATTGCACTAACAGATGCAAAGATGCATCAGCCCCAGATTTCCCAAGATGTGTCATTATACAGAATTAACAGGAACTCATTCACCCTTTCGGTATGTCAGCACAATTATTGAGTCTTTGAGCTCACATCACAGACAGATGTCGATTTCTTTTTTTTTTGTGCTGTCAGTTTTTTTTTTTAACTAGAGGTTGCCAGGCTTCCTGAGCCCTGAGTAGAATTTAGCTCGATATCCTGATGCAGGAAATGTGCTGAATAATTAATAAGACCTCCTGTTCATTGTCTGGGGTGAGCTGATCACTGCTCAGGATCCAGCGAAGTCGAAATGGTACTCTTCCGTTGTGTCACTACACATGTGTATGTCCTATGTCAGGTTCTTGTCCTGTATTTATTGGGAACCCTAAATAAGAAGAGGCTAAGGAGCAAGAAGTGTACATTAAAAAAAAAAAGTCAAGCAAATTACTGCTAAAGATACTGTGAAAGGTGCACCATTGACCATATTCAAGATGTGAACATCCCCTGTGTTTGTTTGGTCAGAAACATTATGATGGTTTATAAATTCAGTACCTGAGCCAATCTGTTGCAACCTTAGATCGTCCAGGAAGTTCTTCCTTGAGTAAATTACATACCCTTTTTTTGTTTTGCATAAGGATCATGCAGTTTTATTTCCTATTCTTTCCTTAACATATAAAGAAAGAGTGAACAGGGTTTTTTTTTTGTTTTTAAAAACCGTTATTTTGTTTCAGGATTTCCTGTAAGGATCTGAAGAACATGCTGAGCCAAGTCAACTACAGGGTCCCGAACATGAGGTTTCTCCGTGAGAAATTTCCGGTAATGCATCTGGGCCAAAAGAAAGATGGGTTAGGTTCTAAATGGGTGTAGAATGACAGTGCAGTTCTTCAGTACTTGTAACATATATCCCTTTGTGGACTGCTTATCTGGAAGATGAGTGAAACCTAGTGGTTCATGGACAAATAAGGAAAGGAACAGGTTTTTGAAGCATTCGTAATCACCTCAGCCTTACTGAATGAGCTGTAATATCAGCCATTCCTGTTGGGTCATGGTAAATGGGCTCTGAGTGGACATAACTGTACATTAATTTGTAAAGAATAAGTAATTTCTGGAGGTCAGGTTTATCAGGTCTCATTTCAAAGGTTCCATTTTTAAAATAGTTTTTTTTTGCTACTGCCAGCGAAAATTTGAAATACAAGCTCTTGGTGTTCACGTTGTGTACCTAGCTATTAAATGATGCATTATATTGAAGTGTTTTTTCAGCGTAACATGATACTAACAAGAATGATTTTTCCTAAACTTTGTTACATGCAGCATTCTTGTATGTGTGTGTCTTTTTCAGGATGTGGAGCTCAGAAACGGGGACGTCACCTACAGTCAGTTTGCCCAGCTGTATCGTAGCCTGATGTTTGATGCCCAGCAGTCTGTAAGTTAATCTGAGGAGCTGAGGGAAGGGGGTGAGAAAAGCGAAGTGAAGCTGTTTTTGGTTTTGACCTGGTTGACACACACGGCAGACAACAGCCCTACTACACCGCAGATCAGGAGGAAAAGTGAGAAATGACTTCACCCCTTGAGCCAGCCTTAGAATTTAGGGAGGCTAGATTATGCACACCCGGAGTGGAATTTAGTTGAGACTGAGGTTCACACCCTGCTTTTAAGAACTTTGCCATAGTTCATGGTAATCAGGAGCTCGTTTAACAGGTTATCTGTAGGACAGCACCTCCCATAACAGTGTCTGTGGTTTCCGTAATGGGGTATTTGGGTGCAGGGGATCTCAGCCTTGCTTAGCTCTTTTGAGAGCTGATCAGATCACACTACAAGGCTGCAAGTAATACTTCTGTCTGTGAGCCTTAAATAATGAACCCAAATAGGCGAAGTTCAGCTCAGGTTATGCCTGTCTGGATTCAGAGCTTCTTTGATTACAGTGACATTGCTGTTCCGAGATGGAGAAACGGATCGCTCCTGCACCAAGTGGGCTGTGTGTGATCATGTATTCCGAGTAATGTTGAATTCACAAGAAGGGCTCCCAAAGCACAGGGGAGACAGATATGGCTTTCATGCAAGCAGAATATTTTAATCCAAACCACTCTACCCCCCCCCCAGTTTTCTGTTCATCCTCCTCGGCTCTGAAATCAATACCTACAGGTTTAAAATGTAGGAGACCTTCTGGTAAAAGCCATTAAGCCGCAGATGCACAAGTGGCGTGCAAAGAACCGTGTGTTTCACGACTAATCATCTAAAAGAATTGTGATTGGGTCTGTGAGTGCCTGGGTTTATATGTGTGCTACTGTAGTGTGAAGAACACTTTTGAACTTATGAGGAGATACACAACTTTTAATTTTGCCTGGCTCATTGCTTGTTGTGCTTCTAGAGGTTGCCATTTAAAACTATCCAGTTATAAGAGTCTGTCTGCTGTTGAGTTGCTGCTTCAGTCCAGTTCCTCACAGTTTCTGGGTCTTGGCGTAAATTGCACTTTGCTGAATCACTGGGGAATTAAGGTCTGGGTTCAAATCTCATAAATCGGAAAGACGTCATAATATTCTTGACTTTGAAGCTGTGCAGCTAATGGCTTGCTTAGTTTCACTGGTAGTATTGTTGCATTAATTTAGCACAAGCCACGGTGCTTTTTGTAGCAAGGGAAATTGTTACAATGAGGAAAGGAAGGTGTGCTTTTTGAAAGAACAAGCTGAATGAAAGCTGCTCCATTGTTCTGCTATAAAGTTACATTTCTTATGGATTTTTAAATATGCAATATTTAATTTGGACTGTAATCTGTATTTTAATCTGTTATACTACTCCAGTTGAGTCACTTCATGCATCATATGGGATTACTTTGGGATTACTTTTTGTATTATTGAATAAATAATTAGGGCTACCAGGATCTTTTCTGTAAGGAAACTCTCAAATAGTAAATGTACAGTCTTATTCTACATTTGTTTATTTCACTCAGATAATACATAAGGTAATGCTTATTTTTTAAAGAAGCTTTAATATTAATGTTGATGACATGATGATAACTAACAGATTGCTTACAATAATCCATCAGATTTGAATCAGACTTTGTTATATGATAGGCACTTAGAGTATTGTAATCACTTATTATCACTAGACTGTCACTGGCATTAGTGTCCTAATTGTATTTGAAACTGACACAGAAGGAGAAATATTGGAAAATACTGCTGCTTGTTATGAAATTGAAGTTTGGAAATTAAGTACAGTATGACCAAAACGTTTACCATGTATTGTTCAGTGTTGCTGCTGACCTCTACAAAGCAAATCTCACAATGTGAGTGTAAAAGGTGTGGGAAGCAGTGAACTTACTGCATTCATTGCGATCTGATCATTTGTAATTATTTAGGTGAGATACTGACACATCTGTTTGCTTTTTTTGTAGATGGACATTCCTTTCCTCCAAAAGTAAGTTTACACATTTGATTCCTGTTTTAAAACTTTCCTATGTTGTGGTTGGATGACTGGCTAAAAACAGTAAGAGGTCCATTTGTCAGGAACACGGAGCCTAGTAATTGGCACATCGCCTGTCTTAGCCTGGCCTGTGTCGTTAGCCCTCTGGCTGGGATGTTTCACGTAGTGGCACACAGCTGTGTGCTGCAGGTGTTCAGGGGGGCTTGGGTAGGCCAGGTTATTCTTGAGGTGTCCCTCCATCACTGACATGTTGGGTGTGTGCAAACCTCTGTAATGAGTGACGGTTGCATAATTCCCTAGATGTTATTTCCATAAAACAGGGAAGCGGGGCAAATATGTTGAACTGTAGTCCAGGTTATAGTGTAAGTATTTAATCGTGTGGTGGAATGTGGGGAATAATTACTAGAACTTGTAAGCTTAGCTATGCGGCTCTGTTAGTCACCAAACTGCCTCAAGGTCTGTTAAAGTATGATGATAACTGACTTTGTAAAAACAACAATAATTGGTTTGCCCCTAACGAGGTCATCAAGAGAAAGAGTGCTCAACTTAAAAAAAAAACACAGGACACAAACCAGTGCCTGAAACAAACCATCCCGTTACAAGACTGTAAAGTGTAAAAAGAGATGGGAAAACCTCAGCAGTTTCTCTGTGCACTGCTGCTGTGGTGTGTTGAGCTCAATAGAAGCTGAATCTTAGAAGCCCGCTTAGAATCATACTGGGCAAAATCATGCAGCGCTCCCCCAAGAATGTTTTTTTTTAGCAGAAAAGCACATGTAAAATCTTCGTGCCCTTTGTGATAGAATGCCACAAATTCAGGAATGATGGATTTCTTTTATTAGTAATAATGTGTCTTGGTAGTCAGTAGAATGTTTTAAGTTGTAGACAGAGGAGAGTGGCCTACTAAAGGATCTGGAAGGGCTTGTGGGAATAGCGATAGAGGTGGCACCAGCCCCATCCCTCCAGGGAGCAGAAACGAACAACATGGAGGGAGAGGGCTCTTCTCCTGGCAGTGATACAGCCCTTGCCTGGAACTGACATTTTAGATTTACTTTGATGCTTTTTATTTCTATTTATTTGGATATGTTTCAGGACATAAAAGTTACTTTGCCCATTCCTAGGAAATTAATTACATTTGTTTCTTTCTTACAGATATGCAGAAAGACCAGATCAGCATAAAGTCACTCTAGAAGAGTTTCAGTCTTTTTTAGTGGAACAACAGAAGGTATTAAGTGAACTGATGTTATTGATTCCTCTGTCCTCTTCATAAAAAAACCTATCTATTCAATAAGGACAGTATAAAAAATGTAAAATGTACTATTGAAAAGCTTTTAACTGCAGTTGTATTGAGGAAGGTATTCTAAACCCATTTGTTGCCCTGTATATGCAAGACCTAATTATGGTTAATGACTATGGTTCTTTTAAAAGAAAATTGTAGAATTCAAGGCTTTCCATTAAACGTTCATGATTTTGGAGACAATTGATGAGAAATGTGTTAATCCTGCAACACTGATCTTTTGGATTATTCTTTGTGCCTTATTTAATATAAGTGTTTTTTTGCAGCACTTCTCTTTAGTCGACCACATACACCCATGCTAATGACCAAAGCCCCGCTCTGAGAACTGTTTTTATGTATATTTCTATAATGTTTAAATATTTGTATAATGAAAATTTGATATATGCTGTTTACGTAAGGAAAAGTGTGGCTTCAGGCCGGGGATCAGGAAGCTGGTGTGACTTTATATGTTGTTTACACGCAGGAGCTGTGGGCCACAGACAACAACCAGGTCCAGGTGTTCATGTTCAGCTACCTGCAGGACCCACTGAGGGAGATAGAGCAGCCCTTCTTTTACCAGGACGAGGTGAGCTGCCTGCACTGTTCACCACCGCAGGGCGGAATTCCTGGTTTACTTCTTTACCAGCTGTTTTTTTTATAAACCTTAGTAACTTAACAGCACCTGTTTTGGAAATTGAATTGCATTGTTTCGTATCTGTTTACTCCATTGACTTTCTACCTGTGTGGCCCTCACACCCAAGATGATTGCTGACACTTAGATAGCACTTTTCTGGACACTGCACTCAAAGTGCTTTACAGCTAATGGGGATCCACCACCACCAATGTGCAGCCCCACCTGGATGATGTGACGGCAGCCAAAGTGTGCCAGAACGCTCACCACACATCAGCTACAGTGGGGAGAAGAACAGAGTGACGCCATTTTTTTATAGATGGGGATTATTAGGAGGCCATGATTGGTAAAGCCCAATGGGAAATTTGGCCAGGATGCCGGGGTAACACACCTTCTCTTTTCGAGACGCACCCTGAAATTTTTAATGATCACAGAGAGTCAGGACCTCGGTTTTACGTCTCATCTAATAGACGGCGCCTTTTTACAGTATAGTATCCCCATCACTATACTATGGCATTAGGAGCCACGCAGACCGCAGGGTGAGCACCCCCTGCTGGCCCCAACTAACACCTCTTCCAGCAGCAACCTTAGTTTTTCCCAGGAGGTCTCCCATCCAGGTACTGACCAGGCTCACACCTGCTGAGCTTCAGTGGGTTGCAAGGGTGATATGGCTGCTGGCTACAGCTTTGCACATTCAGAGCATTTAACAATCTGTTTGGTGCTGACACATATAGGACTCCATATCCGTATAGCCAGGTTAGAGTGATAGACATGACATCTGTATTAAGGGAACAACAAAACCTATAGAAGACATCGCTTTGCAGATGAGGGCTTGAGCTTTCTCTTGGCATTTTCACCGCACAATATATAACATAGCAGTTGCACATATTGGGTGCCCAGTGCAGTTTAAAAACTGGCAGACCTCTCTGGTAGTTCAAGAACCTTTAAAAATGTTTAGAAACATTATTTTATATATATGATCAATATCATGTTACCTTGTATTGTTAGTACTACAAGTACTACGGAGAGCGTTCAACCTACTTTTCTGGACAACAAGAAAGTCTTTATAAACCATTTTCCTAATAAATCAGTCTTGTACTGGCAAGATTTTATCTCTCTAAATCACAACACAAGAAAGTCTCCTCTCATTTGTTTCCTGTCTGTCGTTTCCTGCTGGAGCTTCTTGAAGGAGCCTTAATCACATGGCTGGGAAGTCGGGCCAGACATTCACACCTCTAGGAGCTGTTTCCCATTCTCTATCATAAACAAATTCTCTCTTGGTTTCCAGTTGTGACTGTGTCCTTGTTTCACTACAGAGAATGATAGAGTTCCCTGTCTTTACATCTTGGGATTTTATTTATTTCAATCAATTCACCTTTCAATCTTCTTTGTTTTAGACTAAACAAGTTCTTTTAACCTGTTTGTCTATGATTATCCCCTGAGACCACAAATTATTTTTATTGCTTTCCTTTGAACTCTTTCTAAGGCAGTACTATCCTTTTTGTGGTACAGTGACCAAGACAGGTCTATTCCGCCCTGGTTCAGGTGAATAGTCATTGTAGTGGTGTCACATTTTACTTCAAACTCTTTGAAGTAAAATGTGAGACCACTTATGTTTCTTGAGCTTTTTTTTAATCCCTCTGAGCTTGCAGTTGTGCTTGTTTCACTGCTGGTTTTGTGGTTATCTTAACAATGTGAGACCTTTTCCTTTGTTTTCAGCTTTGAAGTGAGTTTGGTCCTCCATATCTACTCTGATTCATTATGTTTTTCAGAGATGTGTCCATGCGTTCTTTTTAATATCATACTGGACCACCTAGATGTGTCCTTCTTACTGCTGTCTTGTTTGTCTCAGTGCTGCTGTGGACGTTGGAGGTTTCTCAAAGGGCAGATTGTCCATTTCCTAAAGCTCTAATTGTTTTTCTTCACTCTGTCTGCTTTACCACCCAGGATGTGAATATCTGCTGAACGTCTGTTTTTCTCCTGATATTTCTCTTCTGCAGTTCCTGACCTACCTGTTTTCCAAAGAAAACAATATCTGGGACCCCAAATTCGACCAGGTGTGCCCAGAGGACATGAACAATCCACTGTCCCACTACTGGATCTCCTCCTCCCACAACACGTAAGAGCCGCTGTGTTCGTCTTTGACTCATTGCAAGCAGAGTAGTCTGTGTTTGGTATTCAGATTTTTTTAGGGAGATGGAGGCTTAATGTGTGTGTCGTGCGCAACTCGTGTATAAAGATAGAAAAGTGCTAGTGTTACCTGTGAACCCAACATTTACTTCAAAAGCCAAACTTTTCACTTTCAAAAATGGCAGCAATTAAGTATGTGAGGGCTAAAATGCCTACCATGTTACTTGCAGATACCTGACGGGGGACCAGTTCTCCAGTGAGTCTTCATTGGAAGCCTATGCACGCTGTCTGAGAATGGGATGCAGGTGTATTGAATGTAAGCTACCCTTCCTGATATCTCCTGGCATACGGTGTGTGAATCAGTGCTTTGTCATTTCAGCCTAATCCTTCACAAATGCAGGTCTGGAAACATTATAAACATTTTTTTATGATGGCATAGGCATATTATGAAGGATCCCCATTCTCCTTATCCTGTGAGGTTTCTTAACACAACAGTTATTCTTGTTAAGTAAATCTGCTCTGCCATTTGAGCTGACACGCTGCTTTTTTAATTTAAATGATTTGTTTTTTCTTCATATGAAGCTGTTTTTAAGATGGATCCAGGCAGAATTTCAGTTTCTGGGGTTATTGGAAAGAGTTCCATTTGCTTGCACTTTGTTTCAGTGGACTGCTGGGATGGTCCAGACGGAATGCCAGTGATATATCATGGGCACACCCTCACCACCAAAATCAAGTTCTGCGATGTCCTGAACACGATTAAGGAGCATGCCTTCGTCACATCTGAGTAAGTGCACCTCAAGATCTGCCTTTGGTCATGTGCATTTCATTCCATCCGAAGTATCCGCTGTGTAATCATAATGATTCAGGCTCATATCGTAGGGACCATTGTCAATAACCCTGTTTTAACCCTGGGGGGAGGTTTAAATTACATAGCAGAAACACAAAGAGATTCGGTTTTTGCAATCATTCCCCCCCCATGCCAGAAAAGTGGGAAAAAGTCCAACAGTGTATATAGTTCTGCTTGGGGAGTCGTTTTAACACTGTGGCTTGTCTCTCCTTTCAGATATCCCATCATTCTGTCCATTGAAGACCACTGCAGCATTGTGCAGCAGAGGAACATGGCCACCTACTTCAAGAAGGTGTTTGGAGAAATGCTGTTGACCAAGGCGGTGGATATATCTGCAGACGGTCTTCCTTCACCCAACCAGCTAAAAAGGAAAATCCTCATCAAGGTGAGTGAGGATGATAGTGCCTGCTGTCTTTTCTAAATTGTTTTCTAAAATGATCCACAAAGATTCATCTGGTAAAATGTTGCTTTAAGAAAGTATTTGCGTTTTACCAAATGGGTGGGGCCCATAAAAAAATTTAGTTGGTCAAGTTTGGGGCTTCTGAATGCAGATTTGAATGTTGAGCCCATTTGTTACAGACATTTCTTTAGGTCCAAAGATTTCACTTTTATCTGTGACCTGGAGTCTCCGAATGAGGGAGCACGATCGGTTGCGTTCTTGGAGGCCTTGAGCTGACAAGTGTGTCTTGGCTCCGAGTGCAGCAGAGACGTCTTGGACCTGTAAAGCACTTGCAAGCTTGAAGCGACACCACTAAGTGATGCAGCTCCTCTAACTGGCACTGGCTCTCCCGTAAGGCACTGTGGACCTGGCAGTGTGTCAGAGGATGAGTGGCTCTGGCAGGAGGACATGTCAGACGAAGGTCTCTGCAGGTTCTCATTCTCCCTGTGTGGTACGCTAGTTGCTGTTGAGTCATTACCACTTGGCAGTTCTAAAATTGTGGGGATGTATAATGTAGAAAATGGGAGGACTACTTCTGAAGAAATGGTCTAATGTAACTACTTCCTTCTTTCGGATCTCTGTTTGTTCCTCGGCCCATCTCCTTGCAGCACAAGAAACTGGCAGAGGGCAGTGCCTACGAGGAAGTGTCCACCTCTACCCCCTACTCGGAGAACGACATCAGCAACTCCATCAAGAATGGGATCCTGTATCTTGAGGACCCCATCAATCACGTGAGCATCTTTCTAGTTTTCACAGTCTACGATTATAAGCAGGAAATGTCTGAATGGGTTCCCATGAGCGATCTTGATATTCTTCACAAGCAAAACCTTCCTCTACAGTGTTGATTAAAAATATATATTTTTTTGCATTGTCATCTGGAAAGTTTACAAATAAGACTCAACCGAGGTTCTGGTAGCCGTATCACAACAAAGGCACACACCTAGGATCTAAATCCAAAAAACATGTTCCCTGAAAGGATGAACAGTGTTCTTTGGTATTTTGGGGTGAAAAAAAGTTCTGCAATTTTTTAAAAATAAGTTCAGATTTAAACTGGAATAGCTTACTGTAATATTTCTTGGTTGAGTGTGCTGCATTTTAATTGGAGTATGGAAATGTGTTGAGGAATTGTACTGTGGAAACATGACGCATGAAAAGTTGGATGTAAGGAGAAGGCCTCTTTAATCATCTGTATAGAAACAACTTACTCGTGCCTTTCAGGAGTGGTACCCTCACTTCTTCGTATTGACAAGCAACAAGATTTACTACTCAGAAGAGACGACAAACAACCAGGGCAACGAGGATGAAGAGGAGCAAAGAGAGGTATGTTAATGTTGTCATGAGCTTTCCGAGCTCACCTCCTGGATTCCTTAATGTAGGGCAGGGAGAGGATGTTGGCCAGAGAGCCCCAATCCAGTTTCTTCACTCTAAGACACCTATTGTTTAAGATTAGGAAACCCTATACATGATTGCTTAACTACGCATATTCTCAACTAAGCAGGTGTCCAATTAAGGTAATTTTGGTGCCTGGGGGTCAGAGGGTCTCCATCCTTTTTTAAAATTACGGATAAAAAAACACTACTTTTAATAATCACCAGATTAACTGTTCCCAGTAAACTTGTCCTAGCATTTGAAACTCCTGATGTATGGGCCTCCCAGATTGTATAAATGAATACAAAATGAAGGAATAGGTGTTATTTTACACAAGGCAACATTCTAATTCTAAAAGGTTGTAAAGATATATTTTTGTACATTTTCCACAGTAAAGCAAAATCCAGTTAGAGCACCACATGTAGGGGTGATAGCTCTGTGATGTCTGTGTTAATAGTAATGTCAGTTCATTAGAGCTCTGAGGTTTTCAAGAGTTCATTGCATTAGTGAAAGCCCTAGTCTCTGAGGTTGGAAAGGAAATTGAGAGAGTTGCAGGAGCAAGCAACTTACGATAATTGGGGCTGGCGGCCGTGGTGTCACAGGTGTCCAACGGCATGGACCAGCATGTCACGGAGAAGTGGTTCCACGGGAAGCTGGGCGCAGGGCGTGACGGGCGCCAGATCGCCGAGAGGCTGCTGCAGGAGTACTGCCTGGAGACGGGTGCCCCCGACGGCTCCTTCCTCGTGCGGGAGAGCGAGACGTTTGTGGGAGACTACACTCTATCCTTCTGGTAACGGAAGCCGGCTCGCTGAGCACACTCTTTACTCCAGGGCAGAAGGAGAGCTGGTATACACACAAACTATAAAATCTGGGATGAATAAATAGGTCTTGGTTTCATTATGCAAAGTCTTTATTTGTTGAGATATTAGATTTTCATCTATGGATCAGTGTAATTTGACAAACAGGTTAGTCTTGATTGGCGAATGCAGACAGCTTGACACTCCAGTTTGGTAACGGGTGTCCGCTGGCTCCCACAGGCGCTCCAGCCGAGTGCAGCACTGTCGGATTCACTCCCGCCAAGAAGGCGGCAGCCCCAAGTACTACCTGACGGACAACCTGGTTTTCGACAGCCTCTACGCCCTCATCACACACTACAAACAGGTGGCGCTGCGCTGCAACGAGTTCGAGATGAAGCTGACGGAGCCTGTTCCTCAGACCAACGCACACGAAAGCAAGGAGTGAGTGTCATTCCCTCACCCTCTCCCACAACTCCCACCCTGATATCGCCACTGAGCAGAAGTATTTGAATGTGTTATGCAGACACACCTCGATTTACTGTCGTAGCTATCATTATCATTTCTGGTCTTGTAAAAACATTGTAAATGTTCCTAACAAACGGAGACTGATTTGCCCATCAAGCTCGTTAGGTTGCCAGGGGCTAATTGACTTCTTCTTGAAAGAAGTCAGGATATCAGCTTCAGCATGGTTGTCCGTCCTATTCCAGAATCCCACAAACCTTTGTGTCAAAAAAGTGAACTTAAGTGTGTGGTTTAAGTATTACTATATACTATAAGTATTCTTTATAGTGTCCACTTGTGCTCTCAGGTATGTGTTTTATGGTTAATTTTGTAATCCATTGGGTTGACTTTTGAGCGTTGTGAGTATATGGTTCAGGTTTCCTTGTTCAAGACTAAAAAGGGTTGGTGTCAATTATAGCGTGTCTCTGTACGACATTCCTTTGAGCCCAAGTCTCTGGGCTAGTAACCTTTTTCTTTTTTAATTGTTAAATTAGTAGGAATCAGAACGTTAATTTTTTATATACAGACACTACCAGGGTAATGCCACATGTTATGCAAACTTTCCTTTACATAAACTGCAAGTTTACAAATCCAGAGTTGCTATGATTTTTGCATATACATGTACTGTAAATATGTTTCCTAGCCCTTCCTTAAACAACTGCTTAATTCATGAGTCTTGTTTAGTCCATTCATGTTTTTCCCCAATATTATTGCATAATACAGTGTATTTGTTAGATGACAGTTAATAAAATAGGGTAGGAACCTACTGCCATTGAAGAGCATAATAGTAAAGCACTAAAAAAGTGAAATTTGGCGTAAAGTTTCAGTTCTGGAAACCATTCTGTGAGTCAGGGACTGTCTGCACCTCTCTCGTGCTCAGATAAGCATGTAGTTCTCTTCTGGCACTGAGATTCCAGTGGCCTGGATGGTGAGGCTGAGTGCTGTGCTCTTGTGTGCCGTGCAGGTGGTACCACGCTAACCTCACGCGGAGCCACGCAGAGAACATGCTCATGAGAGTCCCTCGAGACGGGGCCTTTTTGGTGCGCAAGAGAACGGAGCCCAATTCCTACGCCATCTCCTTCAGGTGAGCACGCCAAACCCAGCAGACCTGCAATGGCAATGGCACCACTTCGCCAGCAGACAACACTGGCCCACCACTTGGGGCACTGACACCTGCAGGGAAGCGGAATTTACGGGCTGGTTGGTTAAAAAAAATATACCACCTCTTTTGTCTTAGTCAGGGTCGTCTTCAGTTCAAGTAACAGGTACGCCAGTTCCCCCCTTTTATTTACTAAAGGCTGTCATTTCTTAGAATTTCGACTTCCATTTTTTAGTGTTTTCACATTCTGGGATGTGCTTGTTCTATTGCAAAAGTTGAGGGCTTACATTAATGTATTTGTATATATGTGACCGTGTGCAATAACTATTTTTGTTTAGTAGTTAAGACTTAATTGTGAATATACTTGTCTGCAAATTTCCTCATTAATTTACATGATACATAGACAGTGAATATATAACATGCACACAAATACTGGCAATAGTATAAACAGTACATAGAGTATTTTAGTTCATGAAACTGCATGAATGCTTTCTTTTCTAAGTTTTTTATGAGTTAGATCCCCTTTTTGTGATAGATGTCAGAGCCAAGGAACTTTCCCCCACCCAGGTCAGCGGTCTCTCCTGGAGAAAGAGTGTGAAGAAATCCAGCTGTGTGTTACTCAGTTCAACAGAGGGAGAGCTGATCCCTCCCTCCCCTTGTGTCAAAACTCCTGACCCCCGTTTTCTCACAGGGCGGAGGGGAAGATCAAGCACTGTCGAGTCCAGCAGGAGGGCCAGACAGTGGTCCTGGGCACCTCCGAGTTCGACAGCCTGGTGGACCTCATCAGCTACTACGAGAAGCACCCTCTGTACAGGAAGATGAAGCTGCGCTACCCCATCAACGAGGAAACACTGGAGAAAATCGGCACAGCTGTACGTCTGCGGCTCGGTGTGGCAGGACTGATTTCTTAACTGGAAACAGCTGCAGATCAAGGCGATTATGCTTTCATCCCTCCAAGTTCTATTCAAGCCTGTTGTGTCCTCTGGCCTCTTCAGCTGATCCTTTCTGGGATGGGATGTTTTGCTTTTGTGAAATAGTACAACTTGGAAAATGTTGTACCTAGGAACGGCAGAACCTGACAAAAAACATGCTAAACCTTTACAATGTTTTAGGCAGAAACCAGTTTATATTCTGTTCTTCAGTTATTTATGGTTTTTGTGTAAGGTCTGAAATTGAATCACATTGTGTGTTAGGTGCGCAGTGGTAAAGATATCACAGGAAAGATGTTTCAAAAAGTTTGTCTTTCCAGGAGCCCGATTACGGATCTTTGTACGAAGGACGGAATCCAGGATTTTACGTAGAAGCCAACCAGATGCCTACATTTAAGGTGTGGCTTCTTCCGCATCAGGCAAGCCCCAGATTCATCCAAAACCATCCACTCTTTGTGTAGTGACTCTGTCTTCCTCTCTGTAGTGCACTGTGAAGGCCCTGTACGAGTACAAGGCCCAGCGTGATGATGAGCTCTCCTTTTCCAAGAATGCCATCATCCAGAATGTGGAGAAACAGGAAGGAGGCTGGTGAGTCAGCAAGGGCACACAAACCCATCAGCTGGTTAAACCCATGGCAGCTAAATAAGAAGGAGGGGAGGCACTAGTTTACTTTAAGGAGTTGAACTGGTTTTTACATCGTGATATTGAGTTGCAGTGTGTGTGGGAACTCCAGAGTACAGTTCTGGGATCTTGCAGCTCTTGTGTTTTGGGATACATGCAGTATTGTCAGAGAATGAGGTGAAAGACTGCACAGCGTTTCTCTTTAACTGGGTATTGTGTGTCCTGTCTGCCTCCATTCACTCTGCAGGTGGAAGGGGGACTGTGGAGGAAAAAAGCAGCTGTGGTTCCCATCCAACTATGTGGAAGAGATCAGCCCCACCACTGTGGAGCCTGAGAGATCTGTACGTTTTCTTGACTTGTTACCACTGTATTTCTGTCTGCAAAAAGAAATGTATGGATTGCAAGGGAGGCTCACTTTTCTCTGAACCTTAAAACATGGTTATTTGCGAAGTGTAATACTGTTCATGAACATAAACCTAATTGTAAGTGACAGTTTTTCTATGTAACTACTTTAATTCTTCTAACTCTTGAACACCCAAGGGTGAATAAATGTCAATCTTTAGTCAAAAAATGTTTAAAGAAACCCTAAAACATTTGTGGTAAAATCTCTCAAAATGGCATTCAGTGTCACAGCATGACACAAACTACTGTTGAGTGTGTCAAACTCCTATCTGTGTTCCGGGCCAAGGACTCTGGCCTTCCCATCCCATGACGGTACTAAAGCTGGTCTGTTTGAAACTGCAGCCGTCGGCTGAGAACAGCCCGCTGGGAGACCTGCTTCGGGGGAGTGTGGATGTGTCTTCGTGTCACATTGGTGAGTGACACTCGCAGATGATCTGTGCCCAGTCACGACACATAGACATCATGGGTTACGTTGCCCTGGGATGTTACATTTAGTTATCTCGGTGCTCATAAAAAAAAGATCAGGCATTTCTAGATGTATTTTTCTGTGTGCCTTGTGTTTGTGACCCATATTGGTGTGTTCTCAATGCTAAATGCAGTTGACTTACTATGTACACGTATACTTACTGGTAATGAAAGCTTGAGTGGTTTTGCGAACACATGGCATCCTTTAGCCTTTTGCAGGACCATGAAAGAAAAACACTGGAAGGCTGTTCTTCAAGGCCTGATGGTCTATTGAAGTAGCTGGCACAGCTATGAAGTTCAGCCTTCCTCTCCATCTCCGCTTTCCTGCAGTTGTGCGCCCAGATGGAAAGGGACCCCGGCCATTTGTCTTTTCCCTCATGACAGCTCCCACGCCGCGGCCCGGGCAGGTCCTTGACATCGCGGCCAACACGCAGGAAGAAATGAAGGACTGGGTGCTGAAGATCCGTGAGGTCACCATGACCTCTGAGGCCAAGGTCAGCCACCCATCCACGGCCTGCAGTCAGATGTGATGCAGCAGTCCTTCTATAGAGTTGCTACATGACAGCTCTTTTGACAAATAATTACCCGTTTCTTTTATATGCACTTGATTTAATGTCTTTTGTACTCTGTCTTGTCTTTTATTTTGGTTTTAGTAAACATTTTCAGCAGCAGATGTGCTGTAGGAGTCATGGTGTAACGTGTAGTCTGAGATTCCCATTGCAGAGCACATCAGTGTCCTAGTTTTTAGATCCAAAATGGGCTAGATGGTGTCGAAGGACTTTCTTCACTCAGGTTAGGTGTGGTCAAGCCGAGTCCTTTATTCATGCTCTTGAGGAGGATAAAATCATGCAGACCTGAGAGCAGTCTCTCATACAGATCTGTAAAACTCTACCCACACTGAGATGGTAAATGCAATGAGTTTTATACAGCAAATTCACACAGGAAAGCTCACTCTAAGTTTCCATATTAGGAGATGTTTTTTCTCTCTACAAAACATTTCTTTGTAATTGACCACGTTCTTCCTAAGAAGCAATTTTACCTTGCATATAGACAAAAATGAAGTAAGCAAACAGAAGGTGTGAAAATGAACTAGACACCTTGCGGTTGTAATATTAATGTCAAAAGGTTAAATAATATGCTTGAATTATCCTTTTATACTGTTGCTAAGCAAAAGCATATGAGCAAAGTCAAATAGTCACTATATTATATACTTAATAAAAAGTCAAATGCTAAAATTCTTCCTCAATGGGCTGAATGTCCACCTGCCATTTGTAGTCATTCTTCTATTCTTCCATGTTGGTAGCATTCCTTCTAGTCTATACTCTACAGTAACTCTGTGCAGCTTTCTGGGCAAAGTTATTTACCTAGCCAGTGTCAAAACTGGTTATAAAGTAGACATAAACATTGAACTGTTCTTCCTACGTAATATCTGCTTTAATGGTTATTCCAGGACTATAATGGATATATGGACCATTCCTGTTGTTCCATTGAGTCATTTGAATTTGTTTTCTTCAGCTGAATCCTGCTTGGTTTTTCTTAAGTAAACATAAAGTTTTTTAACTATGATAAGAGGACACCAACCAGTATTTTGTAATGTGTGTGTGGTCCCTTGCTGGTAGATGGAGGAGGGGAAGATGATGGAGAGGAGGAAGAAGATCGCTCTTGAGCTGTCCGATCTCGTCATCTACTGCCGACCAGTTCCCTTCGATGAGGAGAGTAAGTGCTATTCTTCATCAAACGATGCTCTTTTAGGAGAATGAGTGTTGGATAAATCTAAATATTTCTATTAATAAGGATATGAGTGATGTATTCAAGGGAGTAATTGTCATCTGAAGGTGACTTTCTAAGATATGGTCCCTGTATATTGGTGTGTGTATGTGGTGGTTAGGCTTGTATTGCTAACATTTGTATTGTGGTCATTTATTTTTTAAGTAGTTAAAAAAGCTGTATCTAAAATCTCACATTTTGATATGCTTTTCATATTACCGCACCAGATAATTAGATAGATCCTGTGGTATAGGTAAAAATCAGTACTTTATTCATCACATCCTGCTGTCTATGCTCATGTAGATGAAGTAGTTGCTTGATGGATGTCATGCTGAAAGCACTAACCTCCCTGGTCTCCTCTCCCCTGGCAGAGATTGGCACAGATCGTGCCTGCTACAGAGACATGTCCTCCTTCCCAGAGACCAAGGCAGAGAAGTATGTCAACAGAATCAAGGGCAAGAAGTTCCTCCAGTACAACCGGCTGCAGCTGTCCCGCATTTACCCCAAAGGCCAGCGCCTGGACTCCTCCAACTATGACCCCCTCCCCATGTGGCTGTGCGGCAGCCAGCTGGTGGCTCTGAACTTCCAGACGGCAGGTAGGGGAAGAGAGGGCTTTGTAGGAGCTTTGTGCATTGTCCCAGTGTGGCCTGGCCTTCTGAACCTGTACACTGCGTGAACCTGTGGTTCAATCCAGGTCGTGTCAGTCTTCAACACCTAGAACAGTGAGATCTTTAGACAGCTTTACCTAGACACACGGACATTGAAGTGAAATCCCTTCCAGTTCAGTACTTCATTCAAATGTGGTATTCCTCTTAATCCATATTAGAGCCATACATAGTGCGTTCAAACAATATAGGTAATAGAATTTAGAAGGAGAAGAATAGTTTGTATGGTCTCTTACCCTAAAACGAAAGGACCGTAGAGTTGGGTGAGAAAACTGCCCTTTCACCGCTCCTCACAGGACACACAGAATGACTGGTACATGTACTGCCCTCTGTCTAGACAAGCCCATGCAGATGAACCAGGCACTGTTCATGCTTAATGGGAGGAGTGGTTACGTGCTGCAGCCTGCAATAATGAGGGATGAGAACTTTGACCCCTTTGACCGCAACTCGCTACGCGGGCTGGAGCCAATCACCGTTCAGATAGAGGTAGGTAAATGGCGCACTCTGTTCAAACTCGCATTGGTGTACAGGGCAGAAGCATTACATTTTAAGACGGCAAATATTTTCATTTAAGAAAATGAAAGCATTCAATCTAATGATTACATTATCCTATCACTTTCAGTAACCGCTTATCCAATTCAGGGTCACAGTGGCCTGGAGCCTTTCCCAGTTGGCATTGTGTGCAAGGCAGGATATAAGCTGGAGGGGACGCCAGTCCATCACAGGGCACACACAGACACAATCGTGCACACTCTCACATTTTTTACCAGTTAACCTGCCAGTATGTCTTTGGACTGTGGGAGGAAAATGGAGCACCTTGAGGAAACCCACATAAACCCAGGGGGAACAGCAAACTCCACACAGACAGCACCCCAGATTGAGCCCAGGGCCCCAGCACTGTGCCACCATGCCTCCCGATTCTAATGATATCCAAATCTACCTCGTGATGGTATTGGCTGCTTTGTTTCCTTCCCCTGAAGTGAGCACAAGCAATGTTATTATGTGTAGTGATGAGAGAGTGCTTTTGGTCCACACAGTCTGAAAGGTCTCTCATGCGATAGGTGCTGGGTGCTCGCCACCTGCCGAAGCATGGGCGAGGTATCGTATGCCCGCTGGTCGAGATTGAAGTGTGTGGAGCAGAGTATGACAATGCCAAACAGAAGACTGACTCCGAAGGTGAGCAATCTTTTGTCTAGTTTCAATGTACAGATTTGTATTGGATATAATATTGCTATCTTGCTAATAACAGCTTAGTTTATAAATGGGTATATTCATATTAATTAGTTATTATGTACAGTGTATGTATCTAATACAGTATATAGGGTATGATTATACTTGGTTTTGTCCGTGTGCTTTCCAGAAAATCCTTTCTGGTCTTTATACAGATTCAGTAATTGCCTTCGAACGGTTATGTGTGTTATGTTCAAAGAAAGAGGCTAAATTCATAGGTATTCATTACATTTAAAATAAAAAGTTTTAATCAAGGGATCACTGTCAGGTCTGAACTGTTGTAAAATGGAGTTTATGCTCTGCAGGTTGTAAAGGAAGTTGCTAACATAGTTTTGGCATTTGTTTCAAAAAGACTGATTAAACTCTCTCTCTTTGTCTCCAGCGGACAATGGTCTTAACCCTATATGGCCAGTAAAGCAGTTTCGGTTCACTGTGTGCAATTCAGAATTTGCTTTCCTGCGCTTTGTGGTCTACGAGATTGATATGTTTAATGACCAGAATTTCCTCGCACAAGCTACCTTCCCTGTGACCGGACTCAAGACAGGTATGGTGTGTTCATGGAGTGTATCTGGTCTGACGATGACAGCAGTTTGTCCTGTGAGATTCTGTGGCAGGTTTTCTAAAAGAGACAATTTAGTCAGATCTAGGTCATGACTATCTAGAAACCTCCTTCCTCAATAAAGTCAAAGCTTTAATGTGTGTCATTTCAAAGAAGATTTTTATCTAGTCTAAACACTGCTCATTTTTATGTACAATTTTAATCTTTAATTTCAGACTCTACTCTTAAGCGTTAACATACACTATTAACAAAACAAAGACAAGCTGTCATAGTAATCGGAAATCGGAAACCACAAATACTTGTGCGCTCTGCTAAATCCACATTTTCTGGAAGAGCATCAACAGGAGGTATAGGGGGACTTTAGGTTATGAAACAGTTACAAATTTTTGGATTCCCTACTTTGTAACTGGTCAGAGCTGAAAACTGTAAACTTGTAAAACCAAGCGCGGTTCCAATACGGTTCACTTTCAATATTTTCCCCGTGTGTCCGCGAGCTCCTTCACCGCAGCTTGTGTGCTCTGTGTTGCTGCCCAGGTTACCGGTCAGTCCCTCTGAAGAACAGCTACAATGAGGACTTGGAGCTGGCAGCTCTGCTGGTCCACATAGACATCTTCAGCGGCAGGGTAAGCACTGGTCTTTGACTGTATTTCAGTGTGCAGGGCTGCATGTGAAGGTGGCAGCTAGTGTTTATAGCCTAGCTCGGGGGTTTCCACTTATTCATAGAGGTGACCCGAAATCGCGTGTTGATTAAAGATGAGGAGCACTTGTTTAAGCAGTTGATCAATTAATTCCAAGGGGAAAGCTGGTCCCTGAGGGCTGATTCTGATTTCTTGTTCCAAATGATCTCTGAATTACTTCATTGAACACCACGTATTAAATAGTTGCAGGCTTTTAAAAATTGATTTCGGGTCCTCTTAGTAAATCTGCTGGACTGATGCCCTCCAGGACCAGGGCTGGAGACCCTTGGCCTGGTTGTAAAATAGCTATGGCGCAAATCCTGGGTTCCAGACAAGTGGCAGAGCCCCGATACGGCCACAAGGTCCGACTATGGAGAACGGTCCCGTTGAATGATCAGTCAGCAAGCGCCTGTCAAGGAAGTGATGGCCCTGCTTCTTCCTCTCTAGCACGAGAATGGGGAGCTGAGCCCCTTCCTGGGCGCTGCCGCGGCCGCCCACACCATGCGGGACAGGCTGGGCGACGCCTCTCCCGGCCAGACGCTGGCCTACCGGGGGCGCGAGGGCTCCTTCGAGTCGCGTTACCAGACCCCCCTGGACGACTTCCGACTGTCCCAGGAGCAGCTCCTGGACCACGCCGACCCCAGAGAAAAGAGGTGGGACTGTCCGTCTGCATCAGGATGCAGTAGCCAACCCTGCTCGTGCTTGAGACCCTGCGTGCTGCTCAGCAGCCACAGGTAGTCGCTGTAGTGTGCAATCCCGTCGTCGCATATTCCAACAGGAGATGCTTCAAGAGCAGTGAGCTGTTTTTTTCCTTACGCTTTGTGTCAGCAGAGTGTAAATGCACCTGACACTCCTGTTAAAGCTGACTTATCTTACATCAGTAATATTATTTGCGTGGTGTCAGGTGAATTATGCCATTGCCTAGCACATTTGTTTTTTGTTTTTTTTTCAATCTTTGGGGGTATGAAATGAAACATTCTGTAATGTAATAACTTTTGGTTTTGGGCTTTACAGGTTAATGCGCAGGACCAGGGTGGGTGGAGAGAATCGTTTGTAGATGAAGCGGGGCCTGTTTCAAGTGCCTCCAGTACTGATGATGTCACTGACTGCTGTGAAAACTGGTTTCTATGGAAACGTTACCGCTTTGGCCTACATTTCAGGCAGCTCTTCCTCTTCTCTCTGTCCTCGGCCTCCCAGAACTGTTCTTGAATGGGGGGGGGGAAGCCATCAGTTCTGGAAAAAGAAGAATTGAAGTATCGCCTCTGTCTTGTTTTAAATGAGCTTTTATGTGCAAACGAAGAGGAGGAGTCTGATTTGGAAATACCAAGTCGTGCCGACATCTGTTTTAAACTGTTTATATAGTTTTCATTTGTTTCTCACATATATTTATTCAAGTTAGCTGCTTCCCACTTGGATCCAGCAGCTCCTTTTCTGCTCTCAAAGAGCTGAAATTCATTTTTTAGTTTAACAAATATTTTAAAGTTTCATTGTATTACTTTTTTTAAAATTTTCCCCCAGAGTGTTGATTCCACTTCCTCCTGATTTTCACTTTCCAGGTGAAAAACAGGCATCCAGGTAAACTACTTTCATGTGCCACTGCAAAGTGGATATTTATTGTCATATAATTTCGGTGTACAACATTTTTGCTTCTTTTACAGTGTTTTTTTCGGTTTATGAGATGAGATAAATATTGGCTTCAGACCCAGCAGTCCTTCAACTCGGGCCTCTTGCTGGAGTTTCCCAAGACAGCCTTCTAAATCAAAACATTAAGCAAAAAATCTTAAAATGGCTTATCTTGCTTCACGAACTCGCATTGATACAAAAATTGAGAGCATGTACTCTACATGTAGAATAATCGGCAGGGGCCAGTCATAAAAACACCCCACCCACTAAAGGAACACAAGTGTGGTTTCTTCATTTAGATCAAGCAGCAAGGAAAAGCACCGGTTGATTGGCCCATGATGAAAAGTGGTCAGTTTGTTAATGTTCTCAAAAGGCCAGAGATGTTTTAAATGGCTGCGTGGCGCTGACCGCGCTGTCCTGCAACCGAGTCGAAGAAGGTGTTGAAGGTGTCGTTGGAACCCCCATCAGAGTGATCCCAAAGAAGTGTGAGAGAGTTCATTTGGTGGGAATGCTATAATGTGGTGAAAAACCACAAACGAAGAGGTGTTTTAGAAGCCAGCGCTGTTTCCTGTCCCTCGAAGCAGTGACAGTGGTTTGCATCACTCAGATGCTCTGTTCAGGTTCCAGCGTTTGAATTACACAGTACTTAAGATTTTATTTTTCCCCATCAGCATCACCGAGCCCTGAAAGTTTAAAAGTTCCAGTCCCCATGAAGCTGTTTTCAATTTTAGCAGGGAGAGACTAAATGGCTAAGCCTACACTGTACTGCAAAAGTCTTTGCTAAACTCCTTGGTACGGTAACTGTTGTCTTAGAGGGAATATTGACATGGATGCAAAACGTGGCTGAACAGTGTGCTGCTGTTTCAAGCAATTTTTCCTGAATTAAAAACCTGTTTGTCATTTTGTAGCATACCACAGACCATGACTCTGTTGTTGTTGCAGTGTTCCGGCAAAGAAAAAGGAATTTTGTCACCACCTGGTTTTGACTGTAGTTAAGTGTTTGGGTAGGAAGACTTTTAACTGTGTTCAAGAGTATAGTAGATTTTAAAAGGAAAAGGTTTTATCATGACATTTCATCCTTTGCTAGTACAAAATGTGCCTTGACGGTTGTCAAGTTTTGTTTTTTAAGTCCATATTGTTTTTGCCGTATGATTTTTACTGTTCTGTGTCTTTTTTTAGATTACATGCACTGCAGGAATTGGTCAGTATGTTCTCAGAAACCATTAATTCTGATAAAGGGTAGACTTGTTCAGAACCTAAAGTATTTTTTTTTCCAGTTTTTCCTTTTTTTTTTTAATCTTGACCAACAAATGACGTAATATACAGTATAGGAGGACCAAATTTCAGAGTATTCTTTAAAGAGAAAGACCAGTGTTCTCAAAGTTTTTTTTGGTGTTATTTTAACAAGGGGACCAACATTAGCATTAAATGTTGATAGAAAAAATGTTGTAATGGGAATTTTAATACTACCACACAATATCATAAATAGCCCACTACTGCTGTAGTTGATGGGTAACTGTAAACACAAACTTTGACAATAAAAAGCTTGTTAGTCGCAGTAACAATATGCTATCAGCAGATGTCACCCTATCACAGCTTTAGCCAATTGGAAACCTGATTTCTTGGACTTAACTGAAGGTCTAAAACCTCAAAGAAAGCATGTGAATAAATATACTTGCTTAGATATTGTAATCCACTCAATCCAATTTTAAGAAACTGAAGAGGTGCTTGGAGTTCCCATTTTATGCAACCTTTCTCAGACAGGTGCTAGTTTTGACTCTAGTGCAGGAGATTAAATCAGTTGAAGATTGAAGGCAGATGTAAATGAGCAGTTATGCCATTTTTTTATTTAATTTTACCTGGAAGCAGTGTTTCTTAATATAGCTGGGACAAGTGTAATAATTATGCTGCCAAAAACTTTCATTTCACTCTGCAGAGATTACTGATGCAGTGTTGCCGTTGGTCAAGTATTGATGGAATGCATGTCCAAGTTCTGTCTTGCAACAATATCCCTGTTTCAGATGCTGCTGTCACTGACTTTGATGGAGTTCTAAATCAACTGCAGGTTGTGTTGCTGAATTGGCGTGAGAAATATGTTTGGCGGGTAACCCAAAGAGTACTCGCGCCACTTTGTGAGAAACCTCTACCTGTTTGTTTTCAAGCCTTCCTCCAGTCATTTCGCCGACTGAACTGTCACCACTGTATCTCTTGGCCAGACTGACATTCCCCCCCTTGTGTTTTCACTTGAGACAATGGAGTGTCTTTAAAAAGACCGAAACGCTATGCCTTACAGAGCTGGCCTCTCCGTTGCTGAACAGAGGAAGCACTGGGACAAGTAGTGGAGCAGACGTCCTGTAACGGAGGTCCTTCTCTGGCTGTGTTATGTGAGTCGCTGGTATGAGTCTGTGCCTGTGGACTGAAACGGGGGTACTGTTGCTATAGTTGGCAACTCCCAACAGCTGCTGCCGCTGATCTGTTTTCGCTTCAATGTGCCTCCGTATATATATTGTGAGACTCTTGTTGAATGTCTTTTTTATTATTTCTTACTGTTCTATTTACAAATGAAGCCTTTCTGTAACGTGCCTAAGCTATGAAAATATGTAAATTTAATTTTGCCTTTCATATTAAACATACTCTGCCTGAGAATTAAACTACTTATTCAGCCATTTCAGCACTCTTGCCTGTTTTCTGTATTAACTAGCGGGGCTGGAAGAAGAGCTGAGCAGAGGAATTTTAAAGCCTAGTTCTCAACATGATTTTTATTTTACAGTCAGAAATACAGTTAGTTAATCCAATAGATAAACTTCCTAAAACTAGATGATTTAATAACACGTTTTTTTCTTTTCCCCTAAAAGTCAGACAGCTCAGAATCCATGCACTATTTTAATTATCCATTTAAAATACAGTACAGTACACACCCTTTTAACATTTCTTTGCTGAAAACCAGACATGCGGTTTTAAGAGCTACAGTTGGTAAAAGAAATGGAGACTGTTACACGGGGGAAAACAATCTCAATTCATGTGAATGTTCCATTTATTCTACAAGGGAAAAGAATTATAAATAGACAATGCAGCAGCCCTTGGTATGTATTTTATTCTGATAAAAGTTCGTTTGAAATCTTATACAGTCTTTATATTGAACAACGGAAAGTTAAAAACTGTCGAATTAACGGAGAGTAATTTTGAAGTTGTGCTGAAGTACGGCTTGTGAAATGACACAAATAGAATACAATCCTCCCAGATGTGCCTGGGACATTTTAAAATTGTCCACATCACTCCTACCCAATTGGCTTTTCGACAATCCCTCATCGCCAGCCGCAGTTCTGTCCTGTCTGAGCGTTCTTTTATCAGACCCGCGACTTGTCCTTCCCTCGCATGCCGACGGGAGTCCTCTCGGCCCCGTTCCCCTGTGGGCTGAGGAAACCCGTCCCTGCTGGGACCCTGGCAGTGCCTCGCTGCGGCCCAGTCCCGTCCGAGGTCATGAAACAAACTCCCAAAAGCATCCATCTGCAGAGCCCGTCTCACTGCCCACTCTGGCACACAGGGCCTTCGCTTTCTGCTTCTGAAACACAGGGGCACAACAGGTAAATGTAAGGCCTGCTAACGCCAACCTCCTCCCTCCTCCCTCCCTCCCTCCATAGGCAGCCAGCTCTGGGAGAGGAACTCTAGGCCTGGGACCAGGGTTTTACAGGCTTCTCTGAATTAACTTAAGAGCATAAAAAAAAGAAGACGGGACTTTTTATCCACCAAAAAGCTCTTAATCACAATCCCAGCTAAAGGGCCACCCCTGGAGTAACCCATCTCTCATATATAATGAAGAATATTTGAATATTTTAGTTATGTTTTCAATCAGGAATTATGTTGGGTTTATTTTTAAAAAATGTACATGGCACTTCAGCTTGCCTGTCTAGACAAGCCACACACCTCTTTCTGTTTCCTCCTTCATGTGGTTCCTGAGCTCTTATCCATTCCCCACATTCACTCCCAGAACAAACACAACTAAAACTGATTTACTGGCTACCCTCCAGCTTCCAAGACCAGCCAGACAGCTGTTTCCCCACTTATTTTCTTCTTATTTCCACGTGAGAGTGTTCTTTGAATTGACATGAAGCTGTAAACATTTTCTTAAACATTATTCCCCACTACTTCGCCAAAGACTCCAGGTCTAAGATGATTTGAGGGCTATGAAGAGTATGTTGTCTTACAATGATAGTTATTAAATATCTGAAAAACAGTATTTGTTTCACTGCAGATTTGTCTTCTTTCCCCAAGACCATAAACTAAAACATTTTCTAATTGTTTCAGTCATTAAATGCCCTTGTTTCACGTGGTTTATAGGAACTTCACCACCGCTAAAAGGTTGCAAAAGCAATTTTGAATCGCAGGTATGTTTTTTTAAGATTGTCGGTAGAAAATGTACTGCTTTATTTGTGGGGAATAATGAAAATTTCCTTATTTCCTTATATTGGAATGAAAGGGGTTCTTGTACTGTGAGTTATATTTTGTACAAAATTAACACAACAAAAAATACAATATTGTTATAGAGTTATAGAGGCAAGCAGGTCTACACGATGTTCCAAAACGTCACGTTTTAAAATGCAATACAGCACCATTAAGATTTGTCCTAAATATTGAAATACCATTTTATATTGTTCATACTAACTGCCTTGAAATACACATAAAGTAATACACACAAGAATTCCTTCCATGTCTCACCTAATGTATGCTCCTTGGGCTTTGAAGACTGCAATTCATGTGCTTGTGTTGTTTCCACCTCGCAGCTCAGGCTTGTTTTGGACAGTTCCTCTTTTACCTCTTGGTCCTGGGCCCCCTCTTCACTGCCCGTCTCTACTACTTTGTCTTCCAGTGGTCCCATGAGCAGGAGCAAATGTTTGACAAACCACTGCCGTACCTGCTCCTCGCTCAGGCCGCTGGAATCCGCCAGCCCTTTGACGTGCTCCTCCTCCAGTTTCTTGTGACTGGCCAAGTAGTCCGCCAACACCTTTGTGTCCTCCTTGCCTTCCTCCTCCACCATGCGCTGGTAGCTTTCCAGCCACTTCAGCTGCCCGTTCTTGCAGACGTAGCGGCTGTCCCCGAACCAGCGCACCACCTCAGGCCGCGGGAGCCCCGTCTGGGTGGCCACGTCCTCATACTGCGTGTTGCTGGGCCACTGAGTACGGGCAAAAAGCTGTTTGAGCAAGTGGAGCTGCTCGGGTGTCTTCTTACTGCGCGGAGATACAGAAGGAAGCGTTCTGGGGCTCTCTGTCAGCGCTGGAGAGCTAGCCTCTGCATCAGGCTTGCCATTGGACTCGGTCACCTTCAGCATCTTGAGGTTGATCTTAATGGGGTTCACCTTGGGTTCGGAGGCGGACACCTCCTTCTGTTTTTCCTCCTTCCCCCGCTTCTGAACACCCTTTCCTCGTGAGGGCTCTTCCTTTTCCTCTTCTCCCCCCTCCTCCTCTTCCTCCTCCTCTTTTTTCTTTTCCGCAGCCACTTTCTTTCTCCGCTCTGAGAACCAGCCATCGATCTCGCGGCGGGTCATCTTTGTCTCGGCCCGTAGGCGGTCCACCTCCTCTGGAGACGGCAGGGGGTTCTGGGTAAAGCTGGCTTCCAAGGCTCGCACCTGCTGTGGATCTCTTTCCTTGTAACGGATGGCGGTGAAATCGGGGGTCTGGTGCCACGATGATCGCCGAGAAGGAGTGCTTGGCGTTGCCTGCTGTTGTGGCTGTTGAGGGGTGTGCTGATGTTGTGGGGATGTCGGGCTCCCCACAGAAGAGGGACTATCTGCAAGATCCAGGACAGAGTTCCCGCTAAAGAGCCCCCCTGCAGAGGAGCGGGTGCCCTTCAGGTTACGGTAATGGTAACGCCGGTCGCTGAACCACTTGCGCACCTCCCGGATGGTCAGCCCTGTGATTTTGGTCAGTCTCTCCACTTCCTCCTGCTCGGGGAACTGGCTGCGTAGAAAGCTCTGCTTAAGGGCAGTGAGTTGCTCTTGTGACTTCTTGTTCTTGTAGAAGCTGGGGTCCAGTATACTACTGGGGAGAGTGCGAGTGCTGTGGGTGATGTTGGCAATGGTTGGTGCAGTATCCACCACTTTAGTGCTGCTGCTGCTACTACTGCTGCTGCTGCTGCTGCTGTTGACGCTGCTGCTGTTGTTGCCGTTTATGCTGTTACTGCTGCTGGTACTGGTGCTATGAATTTTGTTGCTATTGCTGATGCTGCTTATGATGACGCTACTGCTGCTGCTTCCACCGATGCTTACTATGGTGCTGGCCCCTTTGTCAGCCACAAGAGCAGTGCTGGGCCTGGCTTGCAGCTGAGGCTTGGCTGCCATCTGAGGCTTTGGGGTGACCGCCAGAGCCATAGGGGCACTGCTCACCTGGATGCCATTAGCCATCATGGGCTGAGTGACTATGACCCCTCCTTGCCCTACTAAGCTCCCTTGAATAATATGAGGCATGCCATTAGAGCCTAACGGAGCAGGCAAGACGGTGATGGTGTGCGGGTGAGAACTGTGGTGTGGCGGGGCTGTCTGAATGATTGTATTGAACATCTTCCGGCGGGCATCCTCGATTTCTTCCGGTGACCAGCTGATGCCCTGCTTCAGCCGCTGAGCCGTGAACCAAATTTTGATCTGTTCTTCGGGGTACTTCGTGACCACAGTTAGGTAGCAGAGTTCTGCCTTGGTGGGGTAGGGGAACTTACTAAACGAGGACTTGAGGTAGCTGTTGGTGTCCATTGCTGCATTATAAGCCGGGATGCTGCTCAGGGGAATCATGACCTTGGGGAGATTTTTGGAGCTAGTTGAGGACAGTGAAATGGGAGCTGGCTGTTGTAGGCTTCGATTCTGCACCACAGATACCACTTGTGTGATGGCAGTCTTCAAAACTGGCAGTGCATTTGAACCATTCACGATTTGTATTGCAGAAGGGAGGGTAACTTTGCTGGGTGGTCCATTGTGGACAATTGTAGCCATTGCTGTCACTGTGGGGGTCTCCCTTTTCTCGGGCTCTTTGCTGCAGCCTGTGTCGGGCTCCTCTACTGAATGGGACACAACAATCCTCTTTGGCTCCGACTTACCTTTCAGCATCTTCATAATGGGTGTCTTGGTGATGGAGATCTCGGACTCTTTGGCCCCCTCAGGGCCCGCTTCACCAGCAACCACAGTCTGCTCTACAGTTGTCTTCCTGTCTTTCTTGCTCACCTGCAAAGTTACACCTGTTGAGCTGCCCCCGGGGACGGCACTTGGGTGTGCCCGGGCATTGTGCAATGCCAGGCCTTCATAGTTCTTGGTAGACACTCCGCATTCCAGGCAGCAAAAGCTGGGCTCAGCCCGAAAGTTGGGGTGACTGCTGTTCATGTGATCCAGAAAGAGGTTGAGGTCCTGAGACTCAAAGTCACAGGGTTGGCAGGTGTATGGGCCTCCACACCTCTGCGCATGTCCTACCTCAGTTCTGGTAGGCTCGCACGGTTCCATGGGATCGGGCCCAGCTTCTTCGCTGGGAGGGAAGAGGTCTATGCTAGGTGGGCTATCTGGAGTTCCTCCTTCTTGCTCCAAGTCCTCCTGAATGTGCATGCTTTTGACTGGTATCATGCATGGTATGGTTGACTTCCTCTTGCTAGCCATGGCTCCAAAAGACAAAAGGACAGCTCAGTGACGACTGAACTAGTTCTGTGCCTAAGGAAGTGTCTCAGTGCCTTCGACGAGCCATGAAATGGGGACAGTGCAGGCTCATGACCTTCGGGAATGTCTTCACACTGTAAGTGAACTGGAGAAGCAGGTATGAGTGAAAAGCTACCTGTGGAAGAGAGGAAGAATTAAAAGCAATTAACAAAACACAAAAGCCTGAATTTGAGGTTCCTCTGATAACAAACAACTTTTGTATTTTTTTGGTGCAAAATTCAATCTAAATTGTAGTGAAGGAAAAACAAAATGTCAACTCCCACAAGTAATTGCAGTACCACCAAAAAATGTCATAATGGGCTGCATTTTGCATAAAACCATAGATGCTTTAGATAGAATGGAATATCCTGTCAACTGTTTACATCATGATATGTTTTGCTTCTCGAATGTTTCAGAATTGTTAGCCTCCCTGTTGCAGAATTTCAACCAGTCCCTTAACCCATAAGGGCATTTTGCCCGTCTGTAAGGAACAGTCGTCACTGGGCCCTCAGCCCTTACTGCATGAAGGGCTCGTGCTACAGTGAGCCACTAGAAAGGCCAGACCTTCCTTAAAGGGACTGTCCAACACTATCAAATATACAAACTTTGAAAACACTGCTCGTCGTAAGCCTTTAAAGGACATTTAGAGTGTCCATTTTTTTAGATAAATAATAAACTGACAGAATAAATACTACTTTCTTGCAATTATAATTGACCAATATTTATACAACAGTAACATAGACTGCCAATGGCCCTAAAACACATGGAAGACCCTGCTCACTGATATAGTGTAACTGATAGTATAACAAAAACACTTTCTGAATACATTTCTGAATGCATGTGTAATTAACATATGTACAAATCTGCATTTACCTTACATGCATAACTCGGCTTCTGCATAAAGTGCTACAATAAATCAAAATGTAGCTTTCGTTCAAGATATTTTGCAGTGGCCAACTATACCACAGTCAGCTGGATGCATTATCGTGTATTGTGTGTGTGTGTACATAACTATAACTAATAACTTATAGTTATGTATGTACTAACTAACTAATAACTAATCTATAACTAATTTGTCTTAGAAGTGACTACTATAATCCTTACTTGAATCCTTAATTGAAATTTCTGACACAAGCACAAGACAAGCAGGAACTGATTTATACTGTTAGAAATAAAACAGTGCTGTTTGGACATTTCTATTGGCTGTGCACGGCCTATGGTTAGGACACCTATCACCAGCTGAGCCTGCTTTTATCAGGTGGTTTTCTATTTTACTCTACACACATGTACAGCCCCCCCTCCCCACTTCACTTCCCTGTCTACCTCCTAGCTCAAGCCTTTCAATCTCAAACCTCAGCTGGGTACCCATCTATCTAGCAGCTCACTTATTAACCACAGAACAGTTTCCTCGGTTTCAAAATCTCTCAACCTCTCTGCTATCAGTGCGCCTGTTGACTAGCCAAGAGAGAGGAAGGGAGCTCTCTACAGTCTGTCCTCTACTTATAAACCTTCTATGCCGAATAGTCTGTGAACAGCGCTGCGAAGGTGTGACCACAAAGCTCTTGTTTTCAGCTGTAGTAACTTACTTAAAAAGCCACTGCCTTTTCCTTCAGTTTTATTTGCAGGAACCGCAAGGGTTTCAGTGTGAAAACGTAAGCCTCCCTCTTTTGCTGACATTTTGTTCATTTTTTTTGTACCTTGTATTGGACTCCCCCTGCAGAAATGAGAGAGCAGCAGCTACTGTCTCACCCTGTCAAAGCTAAACCCACAGGACAGAACAGAATTCTTCCCAAGCGGTTTATAAACAATCTCATGGAGTATGCTAAGAAGAAATTTTCCTGCAAATGGATATACAAAGGCCTTTGCTCCTACCTCCCCCCCCCCTCCAAAAAAAAAAGCTTAACTTAAAAGCACCCCTGAAAACAAACGCTCAAGGTTCTCAATGTCCTGACAGAGGGCCTTTTAAAACTGCCTTGTGGCTGCTTCCTGGTAAAATCTAGGTCACCGCCATTTTACTACTCTGTAATCCCAGTCCACTGCGTCCAAAACACACTCGTTCTGCCGACGGAAAGGTCATGGTAGATTTAATCTGAGCACTTTTAACCCTCAGAGGGACAGCAGCGCAGAGCACGATGGAGTCAGAGCGGATGGGATCAGTCCATAAGCACTCTCCACTAGCCCTTCCCCATCATCACTCAATCGCTCGTTTTCCACACCACGAGCTAGCAATTTAGAGAATTATATTCTGTGCGTATTTAAACCCAGTAATATCTAGAAGGTCAGAAGAAGTTGTGCATCTGACTACAGCTCTCCCGTAATGCACTTCGATCCTTTTTAGATTCATTTCTTCTGCTCTGCCCCCAAAGGAAATTTTCCATTCCAAACATTGTATAGAGATAGTTTCCAATTTCTGTGCTACGTCATGTAAGACACAAATAGGCCTACTCCCCCATTAGTCACTAAGCACTTTCAACAGAGTTATACAGGAAATTCCAAAATATTAGCGAGACACAAAATCTATTTCACTAGGCCTTTTGGAGAAGTTAATTCCTCCAGAATTTTCACAACTGGTGATGTAATAAATGATACCCAGCTCAAGAAAAGGGGTTACAACTTGTTCAGATCAACAAGTAAACTAATCTTAATATATTTATGACAATAATGTTAAAAGTACATAACATTTTAGAATGGAGGCAAGTCTTAGATTGGAAGAATATACAGTGCTTGAAATTTTAATAAATGGTCTTTCATGGCTAAACATTAAAAAGTCCAACCCACCATATTCAGTAATCCACTCGGGTGAAGCTCTGGTGTCCTGCGTCACACTTGCTTAGAGTGCAAGTAAGGACTGGGAACACTCTCACCTACTCCCACTCTGGATAGGACCCCCGCCCATCCCAGAACCAAGGTGGACTATTCTGGACATCCCATCTGAACCAAGCAGTGTATGACCGGGAGATGGTAGGAAACAGGAGCACATGGAGAACGTGCAAACTCCACACAGACACGCGCCTTAAGCCAGAATCGAACCTGGGTACCGGGAGCTGTGAGGCTACAGTGCTGCAATCACATCACCGTGCACCCCATATTCAGAAATATGGGTCACACATTAAATGACGTTATGATGACTGGAACATGATTAGGAGCAGAGTATTGTAGTGCACTGTGTACTTTAAATCCGCCCATGTGTTAGACCATGGCTAACAGATCCAGGATCTCCTCCAGCTGTGACAGAACCCAGCATGTTGGCTTAAACACATGGCTACCTTTTTTAGGGCTCCCACAACCCAAAAACGTACTTTTTTTAGAAAAAAATGTTAACGTTTGAAATCGGAAATGAGAATGTGAATCTTCACGTCCCCCGCACGTTCACAGCTAAGTATAGAAAGGAATTCATTTTTATACTACACAGCACCTCACCTAACGGCACAAAATACTGTAGGTCCCAACACAATTACAAGCTCCTGCAGCTCAGTGAAAACTTCACGGATCTTTCCCGGATCTCAGCAGCACTCCCACCTGCGAGCATGACTGCCAATAGTGAATTCAAGCACTTGGTTTAACGCGGCGCAAGCTAAGGAGAAGAAGAAGAGATAGGAGGACAGCAGGCCCTGCAGAAGGGGTTAACCGCAATGGAGAGTAAATGCCCCAGAGGGTTGGGGACACTGTGTTCTGTCTGAGGGAGAGGCGCCCTGTAGCAGGCTGCCACTCTGTTCTGCGTGAGGGGGCACACGCCTGCCAAGACTCTGGGGTCACGTGACTCAGACAAAGGAGCTGCTGGGAAGCGTGTGTGTGGGGGGTCCTGAAGCAGGGCAGTTAGGTTGGGATGGGTGTGTGTTTGGGGAGGGGGAGGATGTGAATACCCACGTAGGCAGAAATGAGGTGTTTGTGCCATTTCGTACTCGCACTCCGCACCTCCTGCCTCCCAAAGGCACGAACACACACGAGTGTGTACGTGTACATACTCTCCCTCCGCCGCCTCCTCGACCACCAGAATTTCAATCTCTGAACACGTCCACAAGGAAGAACACAAGAATCTCAACAATGTATTCACCATATTCCGATACATCAGTTCTTCAGTGATCACGCCGATGATAAACTCAACACTGCCAACTTCACAGATACACATAAGCAACGACTAATGTCATTTTCTATGCAAAGTACTTCGCTAATAAAGTTGCACGCTGCTCTTTCTAACACTTGCTTTAATGGCTCATTATTAAGACAATGATTGCACTAGAGGCCTTATGGTCATACATATGCCTCCCTTAAAGACAATGTGATTTACACCTAAACAAAATACTGCTGCTGGGATGCAAACTTAAGTATCAGTGAACTGGGATAAAATGGTTAATACAAAAACTGTACATAGCCGTGAAAATGCAAATAATGTTCTTCAGATAGGTTTTATAAACTTATATTGTGTAAAAGACCTCTGACAATGGTGCAATGCATACATTTATTCTCCCGTGCAGTTCTGTTTTAATATAATGTTTGAAGGCCTATTAAAATGTCAGTTTAAGAACACTTAAGCCTACTAGTTATTTCATGCGGTTTCAGGCCCAGTTTTTTTTAAACTTTTTTTTCCTGGGTGGTAAATTGGAACTCTTTCCAAGAGTATAATTTAAACATGCGGGTCGTTATTCTTTCTTCAGTGCTGCAGGGTCTGTGCTGTGCTGTGATTTCTGCAATGTGCTGCGGAGCTCCAGATGTTGTCTGGCAGCTCGCACTGCAGGTCCGGCCCGGTCCGCAGGGAGAGGCATGCAGTGCTACTGATGTGTTAACATTGCCATGGCAACCCTCACCACACAGACAACCCACCCCCACCAAGTCGCTCTGAGCCTTGTTTTTCTGCACTGCTATGGCAAGCATGTCCTGCGATACTCCTATTTCCATGCTGTGTGATATGTGTTTCGAGGTGTGGTTTTTGGACAACCTCCTACACTTACCAGACTCCAGCCTTGCACTTTCTATTTGTGTATTGCTGACCAGCTAGTCAAAAAAGTAATTCTTTGTCTGCCTCTTACACAGGCTACCCTACTGCCACATTTCAAAAATAACACACCAGGGGGTTTTGTATGATACAAGCAAATAATAATGCACAAAAGAGCTCTGTTAGGCCTTCAATATTTCATGTTTCTAATTATAGATTTTACTTCACACTTTTTAAGTTCTTTATTTTATTTAAAAAACAAACAAACCTTAAATTACATTTTCTACAATTTGCAATGCCAAATCACTGACTGTTCACCAGCAATTCAGATGTTAAACTCTTTAAAAAAAAAAAGATGGCACCCTACTCTGTGCCGTCTAATCTAAAATGGCTGACATCCTAGCCTCCAAACACACAAAGCTTTGCCGGCTCCTACAGATAAAAAAGAGAAAGCACAGGAGAGCTTGTTTTATTTACTTTTGAAACCTAAAATTTTCCATCGACAAATTTCAGCATCTTCACATATCCTGCCTTGTAACAGGAGAGCCTGAGATCTATTGATTATGCAGCATATGCAGCAGAAGGGCGAGGTTAAAAACAACATTTTTAAACTAAAAAAGGCTCAATTATTTTTTTTAAATACCTTCTCTTACTGATAAAAGACTTTTTCATTAATGCTTTACAGCTAACGTAAAAAGGTAGCAATGGGAAAATTGAATGCATGAGACGTTCTTGGGGGATTGTGCTGTGAATACTGCTGGCGACTGCAGAGCAAAATGCTAAAAACAACACAGCATTCCAGCATCCTTGAGATGTGAACTTCATATTGTCATTTTGCATTTGCAGTTTCAGCCTCAGAGAGATTGCGTCTCATCTATTTGTTTTCTTTATATTGGCATGTCAATCAACCAGTAAAAATAGAGCCTTAACAAACACATAAAGCCCAGAGGATCTTGGGGATTTTAAAAACACGTACTGTACTAAAATGTACCGGACTCTGTCTTCCTTGTGTAGTTTAAGAAGTTTAGAAATTAGGGTTGTTTAGCTGAGCTGCAGATTACCAGTGGCCAAGTGGTGTGGGGTGGAGACTATTTGCTTCAATCATGCATTCCTCCAGTGATAAACTGTGTGCCATGAGCGATACACTGCAGCTACAGCTACGCATAAGAGATCAATTAAAACATTATAATTCCCTTGGGGAATTACCAAAACTGGCAGGATTTTACACAGAAATGTTGTCCTACTATTACAGTTCAGAAAAGGCAAACAACTTGACCTTGTTTTATAAATCAATAATGGGAGCTGATGTAGCACTGGTGCTTAGCCAACAACTCTGGCCATGTGGCTTTATGTTTTACTTTTTGCATGAGAACAGAGGGAGTCTCCTCTTGCTTTTGCAGATACATATGAGACAGCAAACTTTTCTAAGTCCCAGTATGGACCGAGGCACCTAGGATCAGAGACACTGGGGTCTCGTGTTTGAGCCCAACACATTAAGGAGTTCTAATGTAACCCTGTAGAACTCACAAATCATTGCAATTAAGATCTTGCTGGCGCCTGGACAGATCATCAATCGCATTGGCCAAACTTACAGTATTTAGGATGTAGCTCTGCTCTTTAGGCTGAGGAAGGGATTGAAGTGGACTGGGATGAACTGCCGTAGGAATTTTGTAAACAGCAATGGAAACATATCTTGCTTGTTAACTTTCTTATGTTCTTATTAATCTGGTTTTATTTGGGTCAGGATCAGACTGGTTCTTAGACTGGATTCAGACAAAGTTATGGCTTGTTGTAAAAACAGACTAACTCCTGGGAGGTTAATTAGTGAAACCTAAGAGGTAAATTCTCAACCCATCACACAGACCGATTTTCAAACTGCATTTCATCAAAGTCCTGGTACAAAAAGAACCATGCCTTTTTTTTTTAATCAGTAGGTTTAAACAGATATCAGATGTTTCTGTTGCATAACTGTACTCGAATTTCAAATTTCCAAATCAGAACTAAACAAAGAAGTCCCATATGAGCTTTTTCAGATTTTTTTTTTAGTTTAATTACTCAGTACTGACTGGTACACATATGAGTTATTTCTGAATTTCTTTTTGCCTTAAATTAAGTGTTGTGTAGGCCTACAGTAAATGATCTAGAAGACAGTTTTGCTTTAAATATTTTAATGAAAGGAAACATCGGGGAAAATGGGACTTTATTTACAAAAATTGCTTTTTAATATATTGTTCTGCTTTGTATCTTTCTGATTATACTGAAAGTTAGTAAGAAGCAGAGTATCCGTGGAAGTATTAACATATTTCAGTCAGGCCTCGCTAAACTTCACTTTCACAGCACAGTGAACATTTCCCTGCAGTTCCTAATGTAAACCACGAAAAGGCAAGATAAAGCCACTTAAAAGGCTATCACTCTCAAAAGCCAGTCCCTGTTAAAATTGTATTTTACGCATTCACTTTTGGCCAATGAAAACGGTCTCATACATACATTCAAAATCTAAAATATTTGTAAACATGTTGCGGAAATTCAAAATACACCAATTCAACGTTTTTTTTTAAAAAAAAAAGGTTCATGAAAACTGGAATGAATCAGTAGAGGGAAAATCTTCATTTACAGGAAAAGTTTGGGTCATAATATGCAAAGAGCATTTTCTATAGCTCCATCAAACGCGGATGACCAATCTCTACATATATTTCAGGCGTCCTAAATCTCAGCCAAACTAGCGGCTCGTAGCAATAATTCACAGGCTAGTGACAGCAACAAGACTTCAGATGCGGGCGCTACAATGTTATCCTATATATATATACATGAGGCAGCGCTTAAGATAGGAGGTACTGTAACTCCAGTTAGTTTAAGTCAGCAGTGTACGAGGGCGCAAAGCCTGCAATACTGAGATGCGTGAATCCTTCCTGATAACAGAAAGAGAGCCCGCGTTGGGTCGTGGGCTTCGCGTTTTGCTCCAGCTTTTACAAGAGTGGAGTGAAACCCTGGCACGTTGCTGTGGCGCACGCACACACACACATAACAACAAAATAGCTGCCGAAGTCTTGAGTCAGCGCCCCCCACCTTCTGTCGCCATTTTAGACACTGGCGCTGCCGAGCTGCTGTAAGGCTGCCTGGCGCTGTTATAGGTAAATAACACAAGTACTGGCAGCGCAACTTCGGAACGGGTAAAAACTCCCTCGGATTTCCTCGGAAGAAAACGAATCAAAAAGGCACGCTTACCTTTCGGTAGATCGAGCTGGAAAATAAAAAAAATAGCTGGAAGTGTGTGTTTTTTTTAAATATATAAATAAATACACATAAGACGAGATCGGGGGGTCCCGGCCGGTGTCAATGGTGATGGGGCAGGATAGGGGGGGGTTGGCCAACCTCTTTCCTCGGTGGCGCAGGGTGTGAGGTAAACCCGAAACTGACCACGGCGACGTACAATTGCCCCGTAGACCTTGTTTATTTCGGATCGATCTGAGCAGAAACGAGAAGGGAAAAGAAAATACGACGTACCCAGGAACACGTGATCGTACAGCGTCACCCACCAGCAAAAAAAAAACACTGATCGGCGAGAGCTGGCTACTCTTCTGTACTGGCTCGTTGGCAGAGAGGCAGAAAAAAAAGTTTTCAGAGAAAGGGACTGAAAAAAAGAGTTTAATATAATTTGCATGGGGTGGTGCATCAAGTAAAAACAATACAGGTAGCAGAATCCTATGCACTAACATCACTGTTTCTGAAATATGGACCTCTCCTTTCATTCATCAGACTCGGAAAATCTTTCATTCTCACTGCAATTACACTCTTAAACAATGCAAAGTAACTACCTTGGCTCTTGCTTCTTATCTCCTGTAACACTACTGTATTCTCTTTCCTTTTGGTGATGTTTATTTGTCATTGCGTTGGGTTTGACTGTGCCGTAAAACAAATTTCCCCGAGGGGACAATAGAGCTTGAATTGAAATTGAATTGAAAAATTGAAATCATTTGATTTTTTCTGTCCTGTCATGACAACCACGGTCCGCTGTACATTATTCAGCACTACAGAGGGACCGTTACAACAATGAGAATAAGCATTGAACTTCCAAAGGCACGGAGAGCAACGAGTCGTACACGATATGTTGGGATACTCTCATACATTAGGAGACAATTTTCTTTAGGACGCTATAAAGATAATGTGTACTTTTAAATTACAGCAGTGATACTTCGAACAATGGAAAAAGTAAAGCCACCCATAGAGTATCTACATATTAAAAGAAATAAACGTATTAACTACCAAATGTTCAGGAATCAATCTGGGTGGAAAAAAAGTTGAAAAACGCCTTAAATCAGACCGTGTTGTTACAAGATCCTTATCTGTTATTGTTGCAGTTCATAGTTAGGAAACGCGCGAAACCGATAGGCTATTGTGCCGCACTGAAGTCAGGAAAGTAACCTCATCAATCAGCTCTTGATAGTTCCCTTGGAAATAGGAAGCCCTAAACTCTCGAAAAGACCTCCCACCCACGTTTTGGGAACTCCCAGAGTGACGCTGCTGAAGGCGGCGGCAAAGACTGCGCTTTTGAAATACAAGGATTTATCATAGGAGTAGGAAAAAATAGAGTACTGTACTTGGCTTTCTCTGCGTAGTTTTCAAAAGCACACCCTTCATTTTAAGTGCGCCGATTTGGGGGGGTCATCTTCTTTATGCTGCGATCAGGAATAAAAGAACAGCAAAAATAAATAAATTGGCACCTGAGTCACCCGATTCTAAAATACGTCCACTTACTGCTTTGTGTCTATTCTAGCTTGAAAATGTGACGCACTGGAACATGTGGGGAATATTGAGGTTGGTGTGATTTTCTTTTAAAGATAGCTGTGATTCGTGTCCCAGATGATTACAACACGGTGGAATAACAAGGTAAACCGTTCGAAAAGAGAATGTAATCGGTCGTTTCTTCATCCCTAAAACAAGACGTATTCTGTAAAGATAAGGTGAGACTGTGTTTCAAACTAGAAATACAGCTACGTAGACCCCAGAACCAGGTAAATACAGCCCAAAATTATTTATTTTACATGCTGATGCCAATTCCTGGGTTTCAGAACTTCTCTCATTCGGAGGTGCTGGAAGAAATTTGACCATAATTGAGTGGGTGTATGATACTTTGTGATTTTTACCTGTGTCTATTCATCATACATTAAAGTTCCATTAAAATTATTTCAGAAACAAGCGAACAAACTCTTAATTATTAAAAAGACTGCTTAACGTTCTGTATTCTGAAATTGCTCGTTATCTTTGAAGTATTGAAACCAAAGAGTTGAAACAAAAAACCAAAACCTGAACAGAAGAAGCAGATCGATTAAAGGGACTGTATGGCACTAATTATTAACAGAAAAGAAAACCTGTACTGGGAACCAGGGTTTTATTGTGTATAATAGGAAAGGAAAATAGAAACTGCAGATAACATTTCAGTGGATGCAGTATCAAGGCAGACACGCTGGATCAATATTTCATGGGGTTGACCTGTCCCTTAATATGAAGTCACTTAAAATATTCAAAATACGCAAACATCGGGACAATATTATCAGCCGAGCAACATATTCTTTACGTTGATCTTATCCTCAAAACTATGAACCTTTAAAAGGCGACACAGACAGTCCCCCAACACCAGATGGCGCTCTTTATTTTTGGCTGGATTTAAATAGTCAATCTTCTCTCATCCACTACGGTTATGTTGATGACACGGAAAACCTATTTTTATTGGCTGCCATCAGGAACGTCGCATGAGCTGATTGGTTTAGAGCAAAGGGTCATTTCCTAGTGCGCCTGCGTCAGAACCCCACGGAGTGCACAATTCAATCTGTGGAGTCAGCAGTGCTTGTATCAATTTGTCAGATTCAATCAAAGCAAGAAGCCTCTTGATTGTTTAAAGAAAGAGAGCTTGAATCCTTCAGGTTTTTTTTTTAAGAAGCCCAGACTTTGGGTGTCGTCCAGCTCCAGTAAAACCGTCTCTGTTACTTAAGAAGTGTGCAGCTCGGCAGTACAAAAGGTGCCCTCAAGTCTCTCGGTTGGCGTCGCGGAGAATGACGAGCAGTGCAAGAAGGAAAGAAGAAGTTCATCTCGCCAATGGGGGGATAAAGCAGTCTGCATGGAGTAAAGCTTTCAAGAGCAACGCCGTGTGGGAGGAAAAGGTTTGGTTTATTGGGGATCGGTGGTGCGTAGGTTTCTGTGGTGCGGTGCTTCGGATAACTTTTAGTTTTCAAATGTTTTCAGTGGCTCAGGATCTGAAAGGGTTAGGGTTGACTGGTGTCAGTCGTGCCCACGTCCGACTGGAGTTGATCTTCAAATAAGAGCAGGACCGTGGTTTTCCATAGCTCTTTTTTTCCTGTAGTAATTTCTGTAACGTGTAAAACACGCATTTAGAAGAAAATTGTTTAAATATTTGCAGATACGTAAGCGTATTATCAGAAAGTAAGACGGCATCATTTTTTACAGAGTAGGATAGTGACACCTCCAGTAAAGTAGTCAGTGTTCCCATATCGTGAGCCCTAATATGGTCGCCTTGTTACCAACACAATCAATCATGTGAAACAGTTCCCGATCTGTCGTTAACGATGGACGATATCATTTGGCACAATAAGCTACATGGTTCATTTAATGACGTTTCTTTCATTTTTACTCTAAGTCGTACCTTTCCTTGGTGGTGAGGTGATCTGTTTTCAGAAGCAGGAATATATTTATACTTGGCTTTGCACTATCCCGTTATTATTTCAAAATTGAAACATGTTCTAAAATCATATTTTCTTAAGAACACATTTGGCCTGTTTTGGAATCATCCCAAGATGATTGTTTCCTGGGATGACAGTTTGTTCCCTTTCCTAGGTTAACCATCCCTGTAGTGTACGTGTCTGAGTTCAAAGTGTTCATGTGTGCGATACCTTTATCTGTTGAAGAGCATGCAAACCACTTATTTTACTGAAAATTAATCTTTTTTTCCCTTCCTTTTTTGCAGGATGAATTTTTAGATGTGATTTACTGGTTTCGGCAGATCATTGCAGTGATTTTAGGGGTCATTTGGGGAATTGCACCTCTAAAAGGATTTTTGGGTATCGCAATGTGAGTCACAACTTTGCAACCTGGTCTGTACCTAGTTTCTCATTCACACCTTTCTGTTCTTTCCTTACCTGTATCAGCTCTGCATATAGTGCATTTGTCTCCCTTTTAAAAATGCAAACTGTTTTACAAACCAGTCCTGAAAAAGTCAAGCAACAACAACAATGTAAAGTTAAACACGTGGCTTCGAAGGAATTCCTTTACATGT